TCTCAGTGTTTCAATTTTTCAATATCTCCAATGTCGAATTTGTGAATTTTACAATGTTTGGATTTCTTGATTTTCGATTTTTCAAGTTTTTAAATCAATATTCGTTCTCTTCAATTTTTCGATTTTACAATTTCTGGATTATTCAATGTTTGAATTTTTTGATTTTTTAAATATTTTTATCCAGTTTTTCGATTTTTCATTTCCCCAGTATTTGGATTTAAGGCTCAATTTTTAAATTTTTCTTTGAGTTTTCAATTTTTCGATTTTTTTACTTTGAACTTTTGAATTTTATTTTTAATACATATTCCAATTTTTCGATTTCTGAATTTTTCAATTTTCCGTTTCTTCAAAATTCGATTCTTCAATTTATTAATTTTTAAAGTTCTCAATTCTCAGGATTTGTAATAGAATAAAATAAAAATAAAATAAATAAAATTTGGATTTTAGATTCAATTTTTGTAACTTTTCTTTCAATTCCTAGGTTTTTATTTTGCAATATTTCGATTTTTCCCTTTAAATTTTTCCATATTTCAATCTTTGGACTTTTGAATTTTTTAGTAATCTGATTTTTCAATTTATGAATTTTTACATTTTTACGTTAGGGATTTTTGGATTTTTCAATTATTCTTAGATTTTTTTTCAATTTTTAATTTTTAAGCTTCTTAATTTTTCGATTTTTCAAAATGCTAGATTTTTCATTTTCCAGTTTCTGTATTTTTTTTTAATGTTTTTATAATATATCGATTTTTGAAAATTTCCAATGTTGAATGAATTTTCCCATTTTTCGATTTCTTCATTTTCGATTTTTCAATTTTTTTAATCAATATTCGTTCTCTTCAAGTTTTCGATTATTCAATGTTTGTATTCAGTTTTTCGATTTTTCATTTCCTCGGTATTTGGATTTTGGACTCAATTTTTAAATTTCTCTTTCAGTTTTCAATTTTTCGGTTTCTTGATTTTCAATTTTTCGATCTTTTTACTTTTGAATTTTTATATTCCAGTTTTTCGATTTCTGAATTTTTCAATTTCCCCTTTCTTCAATTTTCGAATTTTTAATTTTTATTTCAATTTTCAATTTTTCAGCTTCTCTATTTTTCGATTTCTTGATTTTCATTTTACTAATAAAGTTCTCAATTTTTCGATTTTTAAATCCTTTCAATTTTAATTTTTCACCTTTTTGACTTTTTTCGATTTTACAATTTTTCAATTTTTCGTTTCTTCAGGATTTGGATTTTAGATTCAATTTTTAAATTTTTCTTTCAATTTTTCGATTTTTATTTTGCAGTATTTCGATTTTTGTACCTTTGAATTTTTCAATATCCCGATCTTTGGACTATTGAATTTTTTAATATTCCAATTTTTCATTTTCTGAATTTTTTAATTTTTACGTTAGAGATTTTTCGATTTTTCAATTATTCTTAGATTTTTTTGAATTTTTAATTTTTCAGCTTCTCAATTTTTCGATTTTTCAACTTCTAGATTTTTAATTTTTCAGTTTCTCAATTTTTTCAAATGTTTTATTTCTCAATGTTTCTATTTTTCAATATTTCCAATGTTGAATGTGTGAATTTTACAATTTTTCGATTTCTTGATTTTCGATTTTTCAATTTTTTTAATCAATATTCGTTCTGTTCAAGTTTTCGATTACCCAATGTTTGAATTTTTTGAATTTTTAATATTTGTATACAGTTTTTCGATTTTTCGTTTCCTCAGTATTTGGATTTAAGACTCAATTTTTAAATTTTTCTTTCAGTTTTCAATTTTTGGATTTAGCAGTTATTCGATTTTTCGGTTTCTTGATTTTCAATTTTTCGATTTTTTTACTTTTGAATTTTTCAGTATCTAGATCTTTAAAGTTTCGAAATTTCAATATTCCAATTTTTCGATTTCTGAATTTTTCAATTTTCCCTTTCTTCAATTTTCGCATTTTCAATTCTTAATTTTTCAGCTTCTCTATTTTTCGATTTCTTGATTCTCATTTTATTAATAAAGTTCTAAATTTTTAGATTTTTCAATTTTTAAATTGTTTCAATTTCTAATTTTTCATCTTTGATTTTTTCGATTTTACAATATTTCGATTTTTCATTTCTTCAGGATTTGGAGTTTAGATTCAATTTTTAAACTTTTCTTTCAATTCTCCGATTTTCATTTTGCAATACTTCGTTTTTCTACCTTTGAATTTTTCAATTTCTCGATGTTTGGACTTTTGAATTTTTTAATACTCCGATTTTTCAATTTCTGAATTTTTACATTTTTACGTTTGGGATTTATCGATTTTTCAATTAAATTATCCTTCCATTTTTTTCAATTTTTTAATTTTTCAACTTCTCAATTTTTCGATTTTTCAACTTCCAGATTTTTAATTTTTCAGTTTCTCTATTTTTTCAAATGTTTTATTTCTCAATTTTTCAATATTTCCAATGTTGAATATGTGAATTTTACAATTTTTCAATTTCTTGATTTTCGATTTTTAAATTTTTTGAGTCAATATTCGTTCTTTTCAAGTTTTTGATTATTAAATCTTTGAATTTGTTGATTTTTTAATGTTTCTTCAGTATTTCAATTTTAGGTTCAATTTTAATTTTTTTTTTCAGTTTTCAATTTTTGGATTTATCAATTATTCGATTTTTCGGTTTCTTGATTTTCAATTTTTCGATTTTTTTACTTTTGAATTTTTCAATATCTCGATGTTTGAACTTCTGAATTTTTAATATTCCAAATTTTCAATTTTCCGTTTCTTCAATTTTTCAATTTTTAAGTTTTCAGCTTCTCTATTTTTCGATTTCTTGATTTCCAGTTTATTAATTTTTAAAGTTTTCAGTTTTTCGCTGTTTCAATTTTTAAATTCTTTCGATTTTTAATTTTTCACCATTGTAATTTTTCTTGATTTAAAAAATTTTTCATTTCGCCATTTTTAACATATTCGCCTTTTGAAAGTTTCGATTTTTTAGTGTTTCCATTTTTTGATTTTCGATTTTCCAAATTCTCAATATTTTTATTCATTATTACTTCAATTTTTCGGTCTTACAATTTTTGGATTTTTCATTTTTTCAAGATTTGAATTTTAGATTCAATTTTTACGTTGGAGATTTTTCGATTTTTCAATTATTCTTAGATTTTTAAAATTTTTAATTTTCCAGCTTCTCTATTTTTGGATTACTTGGTTTTTGATTTTTTATTCATTATTGCTTTTCTTTAATTTTTAGATTTTACAATTTTTCGATTTCTTGATTTAATATTCTTATTCAGTTTTTCGATTTTTCATTTTCTCAGTAGGTATTTGGATTTTAGACTCAATGTTTAAATTTTTCTTTGAATTTTCAATTTTTGGATTTATCAATTATTCGATTTTTCGGTTTCTTGGTTTTCAATTTTTCGATTTCTTTACTTTTGAATTTTTCGATATCTCGATCTTTGAACTTTCGAATTTTTAATATACCAAGTTTTCAATTTCTGAATTTTTCGATTTTCCGTTTCTTCAGTTATTAATTTTTCAGCTTCTCTACTTTTCGATTTCTTCATTTTCAGTTTATTATTTCTTCTTTCCATTCTTCACCTTTTTAATTTTTCTTTCAATTTTTTTATTTTTATTTTGCAATTTTTCGAGTTTTTCGCCTTAGAATTTTTCAATATCTCGATCTTTGGACTTTTGATTTTTTTAATACTCCGATTTTTCAATTTTTACGTTACGGATTTTTCGATTTTTCAATTAATCTTAGATTTTTTAAATTTTTAATTTTTCAGCTTCTCAATTTTTGGATTATTCAGTTCTTTGATTTTCGATTTTCCACTTTTTCAGTTTTTTTATTCACTATTACTTTTCCATAATTTTTGGATTTTACAATTTTTCATATTTTTCAAAAACTATTCAAAATTTTTTCTGTCGTTAAAATGTGATTTTTATTTAGTACCATTTCGTTAAATATCGATTTTTGTTTTGAATATTCACATTTTTTACATTTCAGCTGCATGTATCATATGTATTTGAAAATCTACTTTAAATTCTGCCACAGTTTTTTCATAGTAATAACCATAAACAGTACTGATTCTACAATTCAATGTCTTTAAATTAAAAAGTCAAAAACCGCTGTCAAATACAAAATTATTTTAAACCATACTTTAAAACTTTGCAATTGGTAAATTCAACATGTCATTAGATTTACCAAAATCCTATACTATAAATACTATATATACCTAATAAACAATCGAGTGATATTAAAAATTAAAATTTACTGACAAGGCAACAAAAGTGAATGTCACATTCTCACTCCCGCCCTTGGGTCAAACCTGACGTGTCAAACTGTCACGAGTGTGAAAACAATAACTTCATAAAAACCAGCTACGTCACTTTGGAGAAGAAGTGAAAAATGACGTCACTGTTTTGAGCACGTTTATACGAATGTTCTAACCCACAAATATAATTCATTAAAACAAAAAGATCAAAGTGACTTCAATGGTATCATAACACAAATGGACACTTGATTATGAAAGAAAACAACAAAATAGGGCTGTGAAGCGAGGTACCGTGTAAACGAACTAAAGCGTGTCAAAACAGCATTACCAACCAAGATTACGTTCAGATGTTGGTATTAAAATTATAGCCAATGTTTTTCGATAAAGATTTTTTTGAAATACTGTTTGTTTCTGAGTTAATGTGCAGAGTTATTTACATCGAATGTCTTGCCTATGAAGCTGATGGTACTTCAGAGACCAAGAAAGTTCAGTGGAAATAACTTTGCATTTTTTTAACCGCTGATATAAAAATATTGTAATGTTCACCCCTGAATGAAAACTACATATTTTGACTTCTTTGTCAACAGTTTCGACTACGATATCTTCAGGGTTTTAGTAGATGACATAGTTATTATACAGGGTGAACATGTACTGTTTTGATTTTGGTTGTGATAAAAGTTCCATAAGTGTACAAACAAACAAACAAACAGTTCCAACAGGTAGTATGCACCCCCACAAGTCCTTAATCCGTGATCAGGATGACTTACAATAATGGCATCTCTAATATTCTTCTTGATATCCTCAATCTTCTGCTTCTTCTCCCTCTCGCTGAAGCCGTTCACGTGCAGAATCCGCATCTGCTTGACGATCGTCGACTTCCCGGACTCTCCCGCCCCCAGCAGCAGCAGCCTGTGCGTGGCCCTGTAGACCTGCTTCTCCTTGGCCAGCTGCCTGTTGATGTGGTCGTTGATCCTCTTCTGGCTGCGGATGTCCTCGGAGGCCGCGGCGGCATCCCTGTTGCCGAAGCAGCCCATGGCCGCCAGAGGGGACCACCAGCAATCCGCCCCCTTGTCGGCGGCCACGGGGCCGCACTCCGGACCCGACGCCACCGTGGCTGTCCCTGCTGCGGCGCCCGCCCCTCAGCAGCCGAGCGTCGCGCCGCGCCGGCCCCACGTCGGCCCCCAGGTCAGCGGCGGCATCGCAACGCTATTTTTACGCGCCAGAAATAGCGGCTCTCATGGAGCCGCCCGGACGACGGCACTCGAGTCTCTGCGCGGCCCTGTCAACGCTTACACCACCCTGCGGACGCTGCGGTTGGCGCCCACCACGGCTCGGAGGCGGCCCGGAGGCGGCGGCGGCGGCGGCGGCGAGGGACTCGGGGCCGGCACGAGACGGGAACGGGGCAATTTCACCACTTGCGGGGCGACGGCGGCCGACAGAACACCGTAGAATTTAACATGTCCGACACTGACTAACTCGCGCGAACGACGGCCTTGCGAGAGCGGCGCCACCGGCGCTGTCAAGCGTGCGCGCGGCGGCCCGCCCGTGGGACGGAGTTTGAATTTGCGCCGGCGGCGGCGTGGGGGCGCGGACGCCCCCAGCGGCCGACGCCGACCCGACTTTTGACATTTGCGGATGACAGGTGACAAGTGGCGGGAAGGATTACAGCCGAAGTGGGCTTTGAGGGCGAGAAATAACAAAGGATGAGCACCGACGACCCTCGAAAAAATTTTTTAAAGATTTTTTGCTCGCAAAATCGACGTTTTTTCAAGCAAATTTCACTTTGAAACAGCGAGAACGAAAATCCAGAAATCATAAATATACAGAAGCGTCTACAGAGTGATCACAATAAAACAGTGTTGCCAGACGGCTCGAATTTCCGTAGATCAACTCGTCATTTTTCGGCAAATGTCGGAATAATTACAAAAATCTTTATTTTTGCTTTGATTTAAATGAGTAAAAATACACAAAAAAAGAAAAATAAAAGAAAGAAACAAAAGCACATAATATGCTGTTTGCAAAAATACAAAGTTTAATTAATGATTGAATAAACAGAAACTTCTTAAAGATTTTCCTGTACATTTTTCAGAAGGTCACCTTAGATCAGAACAGGTCAGTTCAAGTCAGGTCAGGTCAGATCAGGTTATCAGAATTCATACTTTTAACAAGTTTGACAGTCAATAAGAAACTCGAAACAATTGTTTTCGACATTACTAATTTTCTGACATGCCCACAAAACTGTCATTTATATTGAAACACCACCCTATTGATTTTGCCGAAAATTTAGCAACGGGTAGTAGCTTTGGGTTGATTGTAACCGGCTTTCATTTAGAAAATTATGTGAATATCAACGTTGCCAAATTTACAATCAACAAATGTGTTTCAGTAGAAAGTAGAAATGACAAAGACTGTACTATAGTTTTCTAGGATCAATAAGCATTTATTAATTTATTATTATTAAAAAAAACACCAAACCTTAATGTCGTATCAGACAACTGACTGTTTTTAACTTCTTGTCAAAATATAACATCATCTGAAAACGAATGAATTCTTTTATATTTTGTGTGGAGTGCTCCCATTTGGTTTTCGCACCAAATCTGTATTGTGTGTTGCCTATACTAAAATATTAATATTTTCATTATATATGATACATGAACATTTTCTATTTAATTATATACAACAGAATTTCCGCTACTTTTTTTCTACTTCGATCATCTATATTGAACAGTTATTTTTAATTTATTTTATCGACAATGAAACCTACCATTAAATTAAATGTCGATTTCAATCAAATTCGTGGCAACAGAGGACGCCACTTTCAAAGTACGTTTGCAAATTGCAGAAATTAATTTCTTATAAAAAAAATTAAATAAATAAAATTTGGATTTTAGATTCGATTTTTAAACTTTTCTTTCAATTGTTCGATTTTTATTTTGCAATATTTCGATTTTCACCTTTAAACTTTTCAATATCTCAATCTTTGGACTTTTGAATTTTTTAGTACTCCGACTTTTCAATTTATGAATTTTTACATTTTTACGTTAGGGATTTTTGGATTTTACAATTATTCTTAGATTTTTTTCAATTTTTAATTTTTAAGCTTCTCAATTTTTCGATTTTTCAAATTATAGATTTTTCATTTTCCAGTTTCTGTATTTTTTTAAATGTTTTTATAATATTTCGATTTTTCCATTTTTTTAATCAATATTCGGTCTCTTCAAATTTTCGATCATTCAATGTTTGAATTTTTTTATTTTTTAATATTTGTATTCAGTTTTTCGTTTTTTTATTTCCTCAGTATTTGGATTTTGAACTCAATTTTTAAATTTTTCTTTCAGTTTTCAATTTTTGGATTTATCAATTATTCGATTTTTCGGTTTTTTGATTTTCAATTTTTCAATTTTTTTACTTTTGAATTTTTCAATATCTAGATCTTTAAAGTTTTGAAATTTTAATATTTCAATTTTTCGATTTCTGAATTTTTCAATTTTCCCTTTCTTCAATTTTCGAATTTTCAGTTTTTAATTTTTCTCCTTCTCTATTTTTCGATTTCTTGATTCTCATTTTATTAATAAAGTTATAAATTTTTAAATTTTTCAATTGTTAAATTGTTTCAATTTCTAATTTTTCATCTTTTTGATTTTTTCGATTTTACAATATTTCGATATTTCATTTCTTCAGGATTTGGAGTTTAGATTCAATTTTTAAACTTTTCTTTCAATTTTTCAATTTTTGTTTTGCCATATTTCGTTTTTTTACCTTTGAATTTTTCAATATCTCGATCTTTGGACTTTTGAATTTTTTAATACTCCGATTTTTCAATTTCTGAATTTTTACATTTTTACGTTAGGGATTTACCGATTTTTCACTTATTGTTAGATTTTTTTTAATTTTTAATTTTTCAGCTTCTCAATTTTTCGATTTTTCAAATTATAGATTTTTTCATTTTCCAGTTTCTGTATTTTTTTAAATGTTTTTATAATATTTCGATTTTTCCATTTTTTTAATCAATATTCGGTCTCTTCAAATTTTCGATCATTCAATGTTTGAATTTTTTTATTTTTTAATATTTATATTCAGTTTTTCGATTTTTTATTTCCTCAGTATTTGGATTTTGGACTCAATTTTTAAATTTTTCTTTCAGTTTTCAATTTTTGGATTTATCAATTATTCGATTTTTCGGTTTCTTGATTTTCAATTTTTCAATTTTTTTACTTTTGAATTTTTCAATATCTAGATCTTCAAAGTTTTGAAATTTTAATATTTCAATTTTTCGATTTCTGAATTTTTCAATTTTCCCTTTCATTAATATTCGAATTTTCAATTTTTAATTTTTCATCTTCTCTATTATTCGATTTCTTGATTCTCATTTTATTAATAAAGTTCTAAATTTTTAGATTTTTCAATTTTTAAATTGTTTCAATTTCTAATTTTTCATCTTTTTGATTTTTTCGATTTTACAATATTTCGATATTTCATTTCTTCAGGATTTGGAGTTTAGATTCAATTTTTAAACTTTTCTTTCAATTTTTCAATTTTTTATTTTGCCATATTTCGTTTATTTACCTTTGAATTTTTCAATATCTCGATCTTTGCACTTTTGAATTTTTTAATACTCCGATTTTTCAATTTCTGAATTTTTACATTTTTACGTTAGGGATTTACCGATTTTTCACTTATTGTTAGATTTTTTCAATTTTTAATTTTTCAGCTTCTCAATTTTTCGATTTTTCAATTCTAGATTTTTAATTTTTCAGTTTTTCAATTTTTTCAAATGTTTTATTTCTCATGTTCATATTTTTCAATATTTCCAATGTGTGAATTTTACAATTTTTCAATTTCTTGATTTTCGATTTTTAAATTTTTTGAGTCAATATTCGTTCTCTTCAACTTTTTGATTATCTTCGAATTCGTTGATTTTTTTTCAATTTTTCGGTTTTTGATTTTCAATTTTTCGATTTTTTACTTTTGAATTTTTCAATATCTCTATCTTTGAACTTCTGAATTTTTAATATTCCAATTTTTCAATTTTCCGTTTCTTCAATTTTCGATTTTTCAATTTTTAACTTTTCAGCTTCTCTATTTTTCGATTTCTTGATTTTCAGTTTATTAATTTTTAAAGTTTTTAGTTTTTCGCTGTTTCAATTTTTAAATTCTTTCAATTTTTAATTTTTCGCCTTTGTGATTTTTCTTGATTTAAAATTTTTCATTTCGGCAATTTTAACATATTCGCCTTTTGAAAGTTTCGATTTTTTTAGTGTTTCCATTTTTTGATTTTCGATTTTCCAAATTTTCAGTTTTTTTATTCATTTTTGATTTTCGATGGTTCAATGTTTGAATTTTTTGATTTTTTAATATTCTTATTCAGTTTTTCGATTTTTCATTTTCTCAGTAGGTATTTGGATTTTAGACTCAATGCTTAAATTTTTCTTTAAATTTTCATTTTTGGATTTATCAATTATTTAATTATTAAATCTTTCCGTTTCTTAATTTTCTATTTTTCGATTTTTTTACTTTTGAATTTTTCGATATCTCGATCTTTGAGCTTTCCAATTTTTAATATTCCAATTTTTCAATTTCTGAATTTTTCGATTTTCCGTTTCTTCAATTGTTAATTTTTCAGCTTCTCTATTTTTCGATTTCTTCATTTTCAGTTTATTATTTCTTCGTTCCATTTTTAATTCTTCACCTTTTTGATTTTTCTTCATTTAAAATTTTTCAATTTCGCGATTTTTAATTTTTCATTTCTCTATTTTTAAACATATTCGTCTTTTGAAAGTTTTAATTTTTTAGTGTTTCCATTTTTTGATTTTCGATTTTCCAAATTTTCAATTTTTTTATTCATTATTACTTCTCTGCAATTTTTCAATTTATTTTTTTTAGCTTTTCAGTTTTACAATTTTTCGATTTTTCATTTCTTCAGGATTTGGATTTTAGATCAACTTTTTAATTTTTCTTTCAGTTTTTTTTATTTTTATTTTGCAATTTTTCGAGTTTTTCGCCTTAGAATTTTTCAATATCTCGATCTTTGGACTTTTGAATTTTTTAATACTCCGATTTTTCAATTTTTACGTTAGGGAGACAGAGGGCGCCACTTTCAAAGTACGTTTGCAAATTGCAGAAATTAATTTCTTATAAAAATAATTTCCACATAAAGCTTTATTTCTATCTCTGTTATTTTGATTAACCCAGGACTGAAATAGCGAAATTCAATTAATTCATACTGGATGTCCAAATGTAGCGTGTACATTACTGTTTCAGTTGACATCAATATACCGGGTGTCTGGAAAATGGCGGATTAAGTCTTCGTTGCGCTCTTAACAATCAACTGGTGAGTCTAGGAAAAATAGTAAAAAATTCCTTATCACATTTTAGTGAAGTTATAATGATGATAAAATTCTCTTTGACAACAATGTTAAATATAAAGCGAAGAGACAAATCAGCAAAAATCGAGTAAGCAGCTAAAAATGTTTGACGTATCAAAAATTGTCAAAGTTGTAAATTCACAGATCAGGTTAGGATTTAAATCGTTAACTGGTTGTAACACAATTTAACAGACATTAGATTTGTTTAGATAAACACTTGCTAGGAGATTTCATGAAAGTCACTGAGTTAGGACTCGTTCGATTCTGTTTGTCTAATTACGAATGAAGTTGTTTTAAGTAACCAATCACTTGGATGATGGCATACTATAACATCATATAAATTCTTTGTTTGAATCGTTGATAAAGTGTGGCATAACTGAACATAATGTAAACTCTTTGTTTGAATCGAATCATACAATATTTCTCTATCTCACAATTTTAACTTCAGTAATTTTCTGTGTTATATAATTTAAATTGAACGTAAACTTTCATGCTCCGAAGTTTCTAACCTCACGTAATATTTTATCTTCACAAATTTTATTTCACACCAGATCTTTTGTCTTTATATCTTTCTTTTTTTATGTAAATGTTTTGTTCTTGAATGTTTCCATCATATAAATTACCTGATGTCCAATCTTAATGTCAAATAAGAATTATTTGTTGTTTAAAATTTCACAAGATTGTATGGCAAATTTAAATGTTGTTTAATGCTCTTTTTAAAACTTTGACACTTGTTCAGTTGTAGTTTAATATTAGAGTTATAAGAATTGAACATATAAATGGAATTGGGGTTAAATAACACAGAAACACGTGGTGGAAGCGGAGTGCGCGGTTCCTAGTCGAGCTGTCGGGATTTATCGCGCCATCTGCACAATAAAAGGTGGATTTCAGTCACCATCGTTACTAAGAAATCAGAAAGTAAGCGTAAAAACTCCTCATGTTTTCACAGGATGGCAACTTGAAAGGATAAAGCAAGCAAAACCACTTGAAAAAATGACATCACTTTATAATCTCTATTAAATACATTAAACAATATAAATCTATAAGTGCAATTTAGTCATAAAATAACAATAAAAAAATAGTAATCAACATAAAATAGTAAACATTATCACAAAGACGCGCGTCAACGCAGGTAAGATCAAAAAGTTATACAGAGAATCCCCATGATTCCAAAAGTTAACATTAAAACTAAGTGTTGCCAACCTAAATTAAACACAGACGACTGAAACACCGAAGTTAAATGAACAGATTAAGGCACAGACAACTATTCACGTTCTGCTCTATCAAAGGCACGAACTTACAAAACCGAGACGGGGAAGCACTGATTCTAAACATCCGCTGTCTTCAAAGTATCACAAAGAAAAATACTGACGGATGAAGCTCTGATTACATTCGATAGTGGTTTAAGTACGTTATTATCACGTTTTACGTAAATACACGTCGTTCGTCAGTGAATTACAGGACACTAGTATACACAATAAGGACGTGAAATAAGAATAAAAATGCACATTTTGACGTTGCGACCTAGATTAAATCATAATCGAGGAGGTTTTTGATTTGTACGACTTCCCTGCACGCGTCGAACACCCTCTTGATGTTTTCGGTGTCGACGGCGCAGGTGTAGTGGGAGAAAAACCGGTGGTCCACGGTCCGGTTACTCGTCATACTGATTTTCTGGGAAAAACACCAAAATCGGTAACGAAATCGACACTGGGGACTGTACACACCTCGAACTGGAGCTTGATGAACTGCTTCGCCTTGTTGATTTCAGGGTGCTCGTTCGGCTCGAGTTTCTCCGATTTGAAGTTCGTGTACGACGGGAAGTAGTCTTCCAACTTACTTCGACCTAGATACAATGCGCGAGTTTATTAAGTTTTAAATTAAAAAATAAAACTTTAGGACTTATTTTACCGGATAGAATTTTTTCTCGAAAGAGATCTTGCTTATTCAAGAAGAGTATGACCGAAATGTGGCCCAGAAACTTGCTCTTCCACACTCGCTTGAACAATTCGAGACTCTCTATGAGGCGATTTTTCGTTGGGTCCTCACGCAGGACCATGTTGTAAGAGCTGCACGCTGTTATGAAAATTATGGCTGTGACGTCATTGAAGCACATGAACCATTTTCGGCGTTCATCGCGCTGACCACCCACGTCAATGATTCTATTAAGAAAAAAAAAATTTTTTTATTAAAATTAATTATGGATGAATTTTCAACGAATAAAAATTCACCAACTAGTCGTAAGTTTTCTTAATTCAGATTTTAACGGTCACTGTGGTTGCCATTAAAGTATGGGTCATGACGTCAAAGGCTATTTTTTGAATAGAGTGATACATACATTATCTTTATTTGAAGTCTATTCCTTTTGAAGCTATATTTACTAGCTTTATTTTTACTATCAAACAGATGCCGCAATCACGTGAAAATCGCATGAAGTCGATGTCTGCCTTTAAGACACGTTTTCCAACCAACAAGAGGGTGGGTTTGTTGATCACAGGATGGCCACGTGCTTTTATTTAAGTAATATATTGATCAGGTGAGTCTAAGTTCAGTGAAAATTTATATTGTTTTAGGGCACAAAATAACTGTTTTTCGTACTTGATGCAGCATATTTTCAAGAATCAGTTATATTTTAAATTACTTATTTCAGACATAATATCGAGAAATCGAAAATTCGAAAATCTAAAAACCAAAAAATCGAAAAATCGAGACATCGAGAAGTAGAAAAATTGAAAAGATCGAGAAATCGAAAAGTCGAGAAATCGACACACAAAAAAAGAAAAATCCAGAAATAGAAAAATTGAAGTGTTGAAAAGTTGAAAATTTGAAAAGTGGAGAAATCAAAAAATTTTAAACATGGAAGAATTTAACAAAACAAAATATTGAAAAATCGGAAATCTGAAAAATCAAAAAACGGGAAATCGAGAAATCGAAAAATATAAAGTTAAAAAAATCTAAAATTGAAAAGTCAAAGCTCAAAAATCGAAAATTCTAAAAATCGAAGAACTGAAAAACTGAAGAATCGAGAAATTAAAAAAGAAATAAATTGAAAATTCGACCATCGAGAAATCGAAAAACTGAAAATTCGAAAATCCAAAAATAGAAAAACCGAAAATTCCAAAACCAAAAAATCAGAAAACCGAAAAATCAGAAATTGGAAAATAGAGATTTCGAAAAATCAAAAAATCCAAGAATCGGAATGTAACAAACGAAATATAAGAACGAAAGTCGAAAAACTGGAAATTCTAAAAGTGAAAATGCGAAAAATGGAAAAATCGAAACATCGAGAAATCGAAAAGTCGAAAATCCGGAAATTGAAAAATTCCCAAAATTAAAGCTTTGAAAAGTTGAGAACTCGAAAACTTGAAAATTCCAGAAATCAAAAAAATTTAAACATCGAAAAACCGAGAAGTCGGGATATGGAAAATTAAAAAAATCGAAAAATTGAAACATCAAAAAATGTTTAATTTCACAAAATAATATATTAACAAATCGGAAATCTGAAAAATCAAAAAACGGGACATCGAGAAATCGAAAAATATAAAATTAAAAAAATCGAAAAATTGAAAAGTCAAAGCTCAAAAATCGAAAATTCTAAAAATCGAAGAACTGAAAAACTGAAGAATCGAGAAAATAAAAAAGAAATAAATTGAAAATTCGACCATCGAGAAATCGAAAATTCAAAAATAGGAAAACCGAAAATTCCAAAACCAAAAAATCAGAAAACCGAAAAATCAGAAATTGGAAAATAGAGATTTCGAAAAATCAAAAAATCCAAGAATCGGAATGCAAAAAACGAAATATAATAACGAAAGTCGAAAAACTGGAAATTCTAAAAGTGAAAATTCGAAAGATGGAAAAATCGAAACATCGAGAAATCGAAAAGTCGAAAATCCGGAAATAGAAAAATTCCCAAAATTAAAGCTTTGAAAAGTTGAGAACTCGAAAACTTGAGAATTCCAGAAAGCAAAAAATTTTAAACATCGAAAAACCGAGAAGTCGAGATATGGAAAATTAAAAAAATCGAAAAATTGAAACATCAAAAAATGTTTAATTTCACAAAATAATATATTGAAAAATCGGAAATCTGAAAAATCAAAAAACGGGACATCGAGAAATCGAAAAATATAAAATTAAAAAAATCGAAAAATTGAAAAGTCAAAGCTCAAAAATCGAAAATTCGAAAAATCGAAGAACTGAAAAACTGAAGAATCGAGAAAATAAAAAAGAAATAAATTGAAAATTCGACCATCGAGAAATCGAAAAACTGAAAATTCGAAAATCCAAAAATAGGAAAACCGAAAATTCCAAAACCAAAAAATCAGAAAATCGAAAAATCAGAAATTGGAAAATAGAGATTTCGAAAAAACGAAAAATCCAAGAATCGGAATGTAAAAAACGAAATATAATAACAAAAGTCGAAAAACTGGAAATTCTAAAAGTGAAAATTCGAAAAATGGAAAAATCGAAACATCGAGAAATCGAAGTCGGGAATTCGACACACACAAAAAAAGAAAAATCCGGAAATAGAAAAATTCCCAAAATTAAAGCTTTGAAAAGTTGAGAACTCGAAAACTTGAAAAATTGAAGAATCGAGAAATTGAAAACTAAAAAACCTGAATGAAAAAATTGAAAAATTGAAAATTCGAAAATTTGAAAAATCGAAGAACTGAAAAACTGAAGAATCGAGAAATCAAAAAGGAAATAAATTGGAAATTCGACGATGGAGAAATCGGAAAACCGAAAATTCGAAAATCTAAAAATCGGAAAACCGAAAATTCCAAAACCGAAAAATCAAAAATTGGAAAATAGAGATTTCGAATAATAAAAAATCCAGGAATCCAAATGTAAAAAAAACGAAATATCAAAAGTCGAAAAATTGAAAATTCTAAAACTGAAAAATGGAAAAACTCAAAATTCGAAAAATAGCAAAATCGAAAAGTCGAAAATTAGACACGCACAAAAAAGGAAAAATCCAGAAATAGACAAAAGTTGAGAACTCGAGAAATGGAAAATTCAAAAATCGAAAAATTAAAACATCAAAAAATATTATATTTAACAAAACAAAATATTGAAAAATCTGACAAATCAAAAAAAAAACGGGAAATCGAGAAATCGTAAAAATCTAAAATTAAAAAAAATCAAAAAATTCAAAAGTTGAAAAACTGAAGAATGATAAACTTGAAAATTCAAAAATTCAAAAATCAAAAATCGAAAAATTTGAAAATTAAAGAATCGAGAAATCGAAAAGGAAACAAAATAAAAATTCAATATCGAAAAATCCGAGAAATCGGAAAACCAAAAAATTAAAAATTCGAAATTGGAGATTTCAAAAAATCAAAAAATCCAAAAATCGAAATGTAGAAAAAACGAAATATCAAAAATCGAAAAACTGAAAATCCTAAAACCGAAAAATGGAAAAATGAAAAAATCGAAAAATTGAAAAATCCATATTCCAGAAATAAAAAAATTCCCAAAATTGAAGTGTTGAAAAGTTGAGAAATCGAAACTTGAAAAATGGAGAAACCGAAAAATTTTAAACATTGAAAAACCGAGAAGTCGAGAGAGAAATGGAAAATTCAAAAAATCGAAAAACTGAAAAATCGAAAGATCAAAAATTAAAAATTTGAAAATTTGAAAAACTGAAGAAGAAGAATTGAGGAATCAAAAAGGAAACAAATTGAAAATTCGATTATCGAGAAATAGGAAAACCGAAAATTCGAAAATCTAAAAATTGGAAAACCGAAAAGTCAAAAACCCGAAAATGGAGATTTTGAAAAATCGAAAAATCCTAGAATCGAAATATAGAAAAAACCAAATATCGAAAGTCGAAAAATCGAAAATCCTAAAATCGAAAAATGGAAAAATTGGAAAATCAAAAAATGGAAAAATCGAAATTTCGAAAATTGAAAATTTGAAAAACCGAAAACTTGAAAAATCCAGAAATAGAAAAATTCCCAAAATTGAAGTGTGGAAAGGTGAGAAATCGTAAACTTGAAAATGGGAAATCGAAAAATTTTAAACATTGAAAAACCGAGAAGTCGAGAGAGAAAGGGAAAATTCAAAAAAACGAAAAATTGAAACAGAAAATTGTTAAATTTAACAAAACGAAATATTCATTGAAAAATCGAAAAACTGAAAAGTCGGAGGTTCAAAAATCAATTAATTAAGGGTAAAAGTCGAAAAATCGAAAATTCTAAAATCGAAAAATGGAAAAATAAAAATTTCGAAAATTTGAAAAACTGAAAAATCGAAAATTTTAAAAATCGAAAAATTGAAAATTGTTACATTTAACAAAACGAAATACTCATTGAAAAATCGAAGACATGAAAAACTGAAGAATCAAGAAATCAAAAAACAAAAAACATTGAAAATTCGACTATCGAAAAATCGAAATATGAATAGGAAAAACGAAATATCTAAGTTGAAAAATCGAAGATTCTAAAATCGAAAAATTGAAGAATTCAAAAATATGATATATGACAAAAAAAATTCCAAAACTGGAGTATTGAAAAGTTGAGAAATGGAAAACTTGAAAAATGAAAATTTAGAAATTCCAAAAACTGAAATATTGAAAAATTGAAGAATTTAAAAATTGAAGAATCGTAAAACTGAAATATCGCAAAATAGAGAAATCGGAAAACCAAAAAATTAAAAATTCGAAAATGGATATTTCAAAAACTCAAAAAATACAAAAAAAACGAAATATCAAAAATCGACAAACTGAAAATTCTAAAACCTAAAACCGAAAAATGGAAAAATGAAAAAATCGGAAAATTGAAAAATCCAGACTCCAGAAATAGAAAAATTCCCAAAATTGAAGTGTTAAAAAAGGTTGAGAAATCGAAACTTGAAAAATCGGGAAATCGAAAAATTTTAAACATTGAAAAACCCAGAAGTCGGAGAGCAGTGGAAAAATAACAAAAAAATCGAAAAATTGAAACATCGAAAATTGTTAAATTTAACAAAACGAAATATTCATTGAAACATCGAAAAACTGAAAAATCCAAAGATCAAAAATCAAAAATTTGAAAATTTGAAAACTGAAGAATCGAGAAATCAAAAAGGAAACAAATTGAAAATTCGACTATCGAGAAATAGGAAAACCCAAAATTCGAAAACCGAAAAATCAAAAGCCCGAAAATGGAGATTTCAAAAAATTCAAAATAAACCCAAAAATCGAAAATTTGACAAATCCAGAAATTGAAAAATTCCCAAAATTGAAGTGTTGAAAAGTTGAGAAATCGAAAAATTTTAAACTTTGAAAAACCGAGGATTCGAGGAATGGAAAATTAAAAAAATCGAAAAACTGAAAAATCGAAAATTTAAAAATCAATCGAAAATTCGAAAAATCGAAGAATTGAAAAACTGAAGAATCGAGAAATCAAAAAGAAAACAAACTGAAAATTCGAGCATCGAAAAATCCGAGAAATTGGAAGACTGAAAATTGGAAAACCTAAAAATCGGAAAACCGAAAAAACAAAAATTCGAAAATAGAGACTTCGAAAAATCCAAGAATCGAAATATCGAGTCGAAAAATCGAAAATCGATAAATGAAAAAATTGAACATTCGAAAAATGGAAAAATCAGAATTTCAAAAAATTTTAAAAACCGAAAAATCGAAAATTTGAAAAATCCAGAAATACAAAATTTCCCAAAATCAAAGTATGTATTGAAGAGATGAGAAATCGAAAAATCGAAGATTCTAAAATCGAAAAATGGAAAAATAGAAATTTCGAAAATTGAAAATTTAAAAAACCAGAAAATTGAAAAATTGAAAAATGCAGAAATAGAAAAAGTCGCAAAATTGAAGTTTAGAAAAATTGAAAAATCGAAAACTTGAAAAATCTAGAAATCAGAAAATTTTAAACATTGAAAAACTGAAGAATCGAGAAACCAAAAAGAAAACAAATTGAAAATTTGACTATCGAAAGATCCGAGAAATCGGAAAACCGAAAATTCGAAAATCTAAAAACCGGAAAACCGAAAAATAAAAAATTCGAAAATAGAGATTTCTAAAAATCGAAAAATCCAAGAATCGAAATATAGAAAAAACGAAATATCGAAAGTCGAAAAATCGAAAATTCTAAAATCGAAAAATGGAAAAAAAGAAATTTCGAAAATTTGAAAAACTGAAAAATCGAAAATTTTAAAAATCCAGAAATAGAAAAATTTCCAAAATTGAAGTGTTGAAAAGTTGAGAAATCGAAAACTTGAAAAATCCAGAAATAGAAAAATTCCCAAAATTGAAGTGTTAAAAAGTTGAGAAATCGAAAATTTTTAAACGCTGAAAAACCGAGAAATCAATAAATGGAAAATTCAAAAACTCGAAAAATTGAAACATTGAAAATTGTTAAATTTAACAAAACGAAATACTCATTGAAAAATCGAAAAAACGGGAAATCGAGAAATCGAAAAATCTAAAATTTAAAAAATTGAAAAATCCCAAAACTGAAACCTGAAAAAATTGGAAAATCGAAGAATCGAAATATAGGAAAAACGAAATATCTAAATTGAAAAATCGAAGATTCTAAAATCGAAAAAATGAAGAATCCAAAAATATAATATGATATGACAGAAAAATTTCCAAAATTGGAGTATTGAAAAGTTGAGAAATGGAAAACTTGAAAAATCGAAAAATTTGAAACACTGGAAAACCGAGAAGTCGAGAAACAGAAAATTAAAAATCGAAGAATAAGACATCGAAAATTGTTAAATTTAACAAAACAAAATATTCATTGAAAAATCGAAAAAACCGGAAATCGAGAAATCGAAAAATCTAAAATTTAAAAAATTGAAAAATCCCAAAACTGAAACCTGAAAAAATTGGAAAATCGAAGAATCGAAAAACCGAGAAATCGAAACATCGAACAATTGGAAAATTGATACATCGAGAAATCGGAAAGTTAAAAAATCAAAAAATTGAAACGTCAAAAACCTGAAAAATCGAAATATTGAAAAATTGAAATTCCTAAAATCGATAAATGGGAAATCAAAACAGCGAAAAATCTAAAAGTCGAAAAATCTTAAAGTTAAAAATCAAAACATCGAAAAATTGAAAATTTAGAAATTCCGAAAACTGAAATTTTGAAAAATCGAAGAATTTAAAAATTGAAGAATCGTAAAACTGAAATGTCGCAAAATAGAGAAATCGAAAAATTGAAAAATCCCTAAAACGACATCGAAAACGAAAATGAACGAATAAATTTTGATTTCACTTTTAAAGTTTCAAAGTTAAATTCGAGAATGTTGTTATACAATTTTGATTTCTTCCCCAAAAATCTGGATGTCTAGAGTCGAAACTCAAAAACATATTCATAAACCACAAGTGCAGAAGTATTTTATTTTATAAAATTTAAATAAAATTTGCTACTGTAAATTTTGGAGATGACGTCATCTTATTGATGTGGGGATGATTGCCCAAATTTTGGTTGGCCTTCTACAACTTAATACACAAACCGGACAAAAACCGGACAAACCTCGAAAAAACATAAAAGTAGCCAATTGCTCTGTTACAATACTTCCTTAGCTTACACTCCACTCTCAAATAATTTCTGCACTAATCGTTGAAACTACTGCTTCATTAACTATTTTTTCATCCCCTCCAAAAAGACTTATGACGTCATCGCAAAAATTATCAAATATTGTAGTTACAACGCATGTATTAAAGCCGAACCTCGACTCAATAAGACTGTCCATGCGACTGTCACGTGATCACTGCATCAGTTCTAAACCCCAGTTCCTAGACCTTTCTAAAATACCAAATTTTGAAACAAAATGGGAAAAAACTAAACGAAATTCAATCTACGTCATGTTATTATTCCAATGGTACCAAAGATCGAAAAAAAAGTCGTCTGGTAATCATCAAAATTGAATTCCTTGTTTAGTTTGACAGTTGCGGTCAAATGACCGTCAAATAGCTGCAATCAAAAATAAATTCCACGGCCAACTAGACGACTTTTTTTGATCATATGGAACTTCAAGCAAGGAAACATAAAACCCTGAATTTTACCACTAGGTGTTTCCATGTACACAATTAAATTAGATAACAAAGGAAGTAAATATTTAACACAAAACATGAAAAACTTACTGGAACTTCGCATCTTCGACCTGAAAATTAATCTCGGAAATCCCAGTGGTCAAAACTCTACATCTCAGTATATCCTGATCCGTAGGGCGATAATCATCCCTGCTGATCTCATCAACCCTGTCTAAAAAATATTTGGCACTATCTATCAACTGATACTCGTTACTCCTCTCAAAAGTCGCCTGCAAACACCCACTTAAACTTAGCCTTGACCAAACTCAACACTACCTGGACCCCCCTATCCTTCCACAGAACTTTCGTGTACTGGTAAAATTCACTTGGATAATCGAACCCTTGCTTAGTCGCGTACTCAACCACCCACTTCGCCATAGTCTCGTGCTCCGCACTGTCCAGCTGCACCGGGGGCTCTATACTCCCCATCGCCCTCACAATACTCTGAAATACTCCCATCAGCTCTCACCACCGCAAAAGCCCCCACTTACGGCAATAGCCTCAAGTAAGTTATTGCGAATGTCGTCCCTGCGCTGCCTCCTCAGCCCCTCGCTGAACTTCTCCCCGTGAATCAGCTGCATCTGCTTGATCACCGTGGACTTGCCAGACTCCCCGGCTCCCAGCAGCAGCAGCCGGTGGGTCTTGACAAACTCCATCTTCTCCCCCTGCAGCCACTTGTCGATGTCGTCGCTGTGCCGCTTTGTGGTCAAGTCATCCGAATCCAGCGGGTACAAACAGGGAAAAAACGGGAAGAAACATCCTGGTTTTTTGTTGGTCATCTTGCATTGTGCATCCTGCGTCCGGTTCAAATCGCTGCCATTATGTGAGTGTACATAACTCATTATATGGGTACACAGTTGACATGGAGCAAGGTTACAACAACGATATAAACGGACTGACGAATGCGTTATCGGCAACTCGCGATTAATGTAAATAAAGTTAGGTTAAACGGTGACAGCTGTCAAACAATGTGACGTCTCGCGAGGAGCCAAAGTTACTAAACCGAATCAAAAGTTCGACGAGGTTTTGTAACAAGAAACCGACGAAAAGTAATTTTATTCCGTTGGCGTAAGACAGTTTCGTCCCGGAAAGGAAACCGCTGGACGCTATTATGATTATGAAGTACATGGTGTGAAGGTTAAGCGTTTGGTCTAAAATCCGTTCATCGGATACAGTCACGTGTCGGGAGTTGGCAACCCGTTATACACTATAGAAATAAAAACCGACTATTGCAGAATAATATATTTTGTAAGAATTAAGTAAACATAGCTATGCTCTATATTGAAACAATGAGAATTTAAGTACAGACTAGACAGAATCGATGCACGGCATCGTAACTAACAGCAGTCCATTACATGGGTACTTAACTACAAGCTATAACTATAATGTATGTACACATGTATTATATGAAAAAATGTTAAATATATCTGAATTAACCGCTTAACACTGGGGCGTCAGCCCTATAAACAAACTTTGCATAAAATCTCAGTTATATGTTAACTCGAAATTATACTAAACTATGAAAAACCAGCAGCAAAAACAAAAAATGCAGCACATACACCCAACAGAACGGCAAGGCAAAATAAAACAGTTAATACTGCGAGAACTTGAGCGATCAAACGACTATCGCTCTACGGGTTTGACCGTTCAATCACCGCTTAAATATAAGACATGATAATGTGCTATGTAAGGAAAACAATTATACAATACATTTAAATATTCAACATTGCTAAATTCATCACTGATTATGATTTATTATGCATTCACATTACACGAATTCGATAAATCTCGGAAATGAAATTCGTATTCAATAAGCATATCGTATCACTTTTAATCGAATATATTGATCCACGTAGAAATCCGCTCTACTTTAGTAAAAAAACTGTCATATTCTACTTACAATAGAACACACAATGATTCGAAAAAGTGACAATGTGAGTATGCTCAAACGCGCGGTTCGGCTCGGGGATTATTGTCTTATTTTTATCAAAAAACACCAAAGTCGTTTGAATTAGGCTCCGGGTTTCTAAACGCTGGTTTTAGGAATGTCACCGGAAGAATTTTGATTTAAACAAGTGGCACTTTTTGTTTGATCAAAAAACATTTTTGTACTTCATTTAGAATGCGGTTTAACTTTTTGGAGATTTTTCTGCCCCAATTATCGTTGCTTGATCACTTTAAATACAGTCGCAGTTTAAAAAAATGAGATCAACACACACAAAAATTACCCTTACGGAACGACAAGATACACAGAATCGTCGTAAAGACTTTGGAAAATTTATATTGCTTACGGTACTCTGTTGACACTTCAGGGTTTTGTTTCGCGCTCAACCGACAGATGGCGCCACTCAATCGTTTTTGAAAATGACTTTTCGAGTACTTAGGTATTACAAAATTATTTCATTAATTTGTATAAGTACGATTAATGTTGGTGGCGCCATCCACGCCAAATGGGAGAAATTACGATGTCAAAACGCCATTTTCGTACACAGAACTTTCTGTAAAAAATGACAAGTGTCTGTCTATTCTTGGTGTCTTGACTTAACGTATTTAGGACTAAAAACTTGTCATAACCACTTACAATGGTCTCTAGTTTATTTTTACTTGAAAAATAGTGCTACCATCGTAGAAATTAAAATGAACTAAAGACAAATTTTGTGACGGCAACTGTTAACTTTCGAAAAACACTTAAATTAAAAATAAGTTTGTTATAAAAAATTGAACACTCGTATTGGAAAGTTTCTTTTTAGAAAAAATTGGAATATTTCGAAATCAATCATCGTGGAAGTTTGATCGAGTTGGAAATGTCAGTCTTGAAAAAACGTTTTCTTTGTAAAGTATCGAAAATAAAAAAAATCGAATGTGGTATAACGTTTGAGCAGAACTCGCTTGTGATTCGTCGAAAACTCGGCCGTCGATCCGAGCCGAACCTCGCGTTCTCCATTCATCATAGCAATTTATTTCTTGTGCTCCCTCCCTCCCGCTCAACATACTCCCTAATCTAAAACGCAAAAAACTATCACAACTCAATTTTGGTATTCCACACGAACGAAAGAAACCGAAAGTCGCCGATTTGATTGCTTCGTTATTGTTCGAGTCACGCTAAGGTACTTGCACGTGAAATTTGAAATTTTCCTCGAGTATGTCGTCCGTGCTAAGAATTAAAATGCTATGATCGCGCGCGCTCGTGAGGTCTCGTCAGGTGGAATGTACGGCGGCGGCGGCGGGGGCGGCGCCATCTCACGTCAGCTGCGACTTCCGACAGTTGCACAGCCATTTGATGATGCGGGCGTTGCGCTCGACGATCGAGGGCGGCTCGCTCGGCCTGAACGACGAGGGACAGTAATCGACGCTGTCTAGGGGGCGGCTCGAGTCGACCGTCGACACGTCCGAGAAGAAAACGGGGCTATCCGAGGACCTACTGTTACTCAGCATCTCCTCGTAGCTGTCGCTGGTGAGGCCGAGGTGCTCGAAGAACTGCTCGAGGTGGCTGGTGGGGGGCTCGGGGGGGCGCCAGTAGCGGTCGCTGATGTCGGACTTGGAGCGGAGGATGGGGCGGTCGCGCTTGTACCGAAGGCATTTCTGACGTTTGAAGGTCGACGGCGGCGGGTAGGCTTGGCGGGCGCGGCACTCGGGCTCCTGGCAGCAGAAGTACGAGCTGCCGCCGCTGTGCTGGGTGCTGGAGCCGGAGTCGCGCCGGGTGTCCTGGAACGAGGATGGCGCGATTACGACTGGTGGAATGCCGAGTGCACATAAAGCGGTGATTAGGAGTTAAACTCGGTGAACTACCCGTGTTTGGTTGGGCGCCAACGTGACGATTCATTTCAAATTCAAAACATGGTGGCACGGTAATGTGGTGTGCGTGAGCGGAGTGACCAAGTTTTAAAGCGCCAATGCTTTTTTACAGTTTGCTTTTCAGCTGCATTTTTTTAGGGATACTAATTTACAAGTTTTAAAAATTTAAAAGCGTCTCCGGCACGCAATTTTCACATAAAATTCCAATAAAACGGTTTGTACGGACAAGTTCTGAGCGTTCTAGGTCTTCTAGATACATACAATCAAGTATGCTCCGAGTCTCAGATTTTGACAAAAAAAAATATATTCAAATTCGAGCTAAAATTCATTTTCTCAATAAATTTCAATACGACAAATCTTAGATCTGCTAAACAACTCAAATTCAAGGCAAAAAAAACAAATTTTGGATCTAGAGGCTTCCTAGTGTGTTATTTTTGAACAAAATTAAAATAATTTTGTAAGAATTTGAAAAGCCTTGTGTATTCTTAAGATACAGTTTTTTTTTTAATTTTGGGGGTTCCTGGGATTTTTTTTGAAAATTTGAAAGAACGTCTGGCGCTTTTTTTGAAAAATTTGAAATAATCTTGGAGGTTTCTGAAAAAATCTTAGGGTTCTTGAAGGTTTTTTTAAAGAATCTTGGAAGGTCTTGGCAGATCTTTTTTGTGAAGACTTTAAACGAATCTTGGAGCCTCTAAAGATTTTTTTTTGAACAATTTGAAAATAATCTTGGGAGTTCTTGACGGTAAAAATTTGATCAAATTTTAAGCACCTCTGAAGGTTTTTTTTTTTTTTTTGAAAAAATTTTAAAAGAATCTTGGGCTCTCCTGACCGTTTTTAAAGACTTTGAAATAATCTTGGGGAGGGGGGGGTTCTTTTAATTTAAAAGAACCTTTAGTTCCCCCGAGCTTTTTTTTTGGGAAGAATCTGAAAAAATCCCGAGGGGACTGACGCTTTTTCTGGGGAAATTTGAAAGAATATTGGGGCTGACGTTTTTTTTGAGGAATTTTTTTTTTAAGAATCCTGTTTTTTCAACAATGAAACAATCTTGGGGCCCTTGAGGTTTTTTTTTGAAGAATTTGAAAGAATCTTGGGAGTTCCTGACAGATTTTTTTTCTGAAAAATTTGAAACAATCTTGAGGACCTCCAACAGGTTTATTTTAATTCAAAAGAATCTTGGTGCCGCCTGACAATTTTTTTTAAGAATTTGAAAGAATGACAAGAATTTTAGAGGGTTTTTTGAAAAAAAATAATTTTGGTCCTGAGTTTTTTTTTTATTTAAAAGGATCTTGGGACAACCTGACGCTTTTTGTTTAAGAATTGGAAAAGCCTTGGGGGTTCTTAATATTTTTGTTTTAAGAATTTTGTGTTCCCGAGATATTTTTTTAGAAATTGGAAAGAATCTTGTGCGCCTACGACGGTTTTTTTTTTTAAGAATTTGAAATAATGTGGGGATTTTTTTGGAAAAATTTTGAAATTCGTGGGGCCCTGACGACTTCTAAGAATCTTAGGGTTCTTGAAGGTTTTTTTAAAGAATCTCGGAAAGTCCAGACAGATTTTTTTTTGTGAAGAATTTAAACGAATCTTGGAGCCTCTAACAGTATTTTTCGGAAGAATTTGAAAAAATCTTGGGAGTTCCTGACGGTAAAAATTTGACAAAATCTTGGGAACCTCTGAAGTTTTTTTTTTTTGAAAAATTCTAAAGAATCTTGGGTTCTCCTGAGGGTTTTTTGAAGACTTTGAAATAATCTTGTGTGCCTCTTAGCTTTTTTTTTAATTTAAAAGGACCTTAAGTCAAGTAAATTAAATGAATTTTCTTTTGGAGGAATATGAAAAAATCTTGGAGGTTCCAAACAGATTTTTTTTTCTGAAAAATTTGAAAGAACCTTGAGGGCCTTTTAACAGGTTTATTTTATTTCAAAAGAATTTTGGGGCCGCCTGACAGTTTTTTTTTTAAGAATTTGGAAGAATAACAGGGTTTTAGAGGGTTTTTTGAAAAAAATATCTTAGGGGGTTCCTGAGTTTTTTTTTTTAATTTGAAAGAATCTTGAGGCGCTTTGAGTTTTTTTTAATTTAAAAAAATCTTGGGGCCACCTGACGCTTTTTTTAAGAATTTGAAAAAATATTAAGGGTTTTTAAAAGATTTTTTGGAAAAAAATTGGTAAAATTTGTAAGAATCTCGTGGACCTGACTTTAAAGGTTCTTGAGGGTTTCTGACGTTTTTTTGACAATGTTTGGGGCTTGACTGTTTCTTTTTGGAAAAATTTTAACGAATCTTAAGGGTTCCTGAGGGAAAAAATTTGAAAGAATTTTCGGTTTTCCCGTTTTTGTTTTTGAAGAATTTGAAATAATCTTGGGGTTCCTGAGACTTTTTTTCTGAAAAATTTGAAAGAATCATGGGGGCCTCTAACAGGTTTATTTTAAGAATTTGAAAGAATGATTGAGTTTTAGAGGGTTTTAAAAAATATATATCTTAGAGGGTTCCTGAGTTTTTTTTTTTTTAATTTGAAAGAATCTTGGGGGCTCTGAGTTTTTTTTTTAATTCAAAAAAATCTTGGACCCATCTGACGCTTTTTTTAAGGATTTGAAAAAGTATTGGGCGTTCTTAAGGGATTTTTTTTTGTAAAAATTTTGAGTTTTTTTTTCCAAATTTCTTTGGTAAAATTTGTAAGAATCTCGTGGGCCTGACTTTAAAGGAATCTTGAGGGTTTCTGACGTTTTTTTGACAATGTTTGGGGCTTGACTGTTTTTTTTTTTTTGGAAAAATTTTAACGAACCTTAAGGGTGCCTGATGGAAAAAATTTGAAAGAATTTACGGTTTTCCCTTTTTGTTTTTGAAAAATTAGAAGTAATCTTGGGGGTTCCCGAGATTTTTTTTTTATTCAAAAGAATGACAGCTTTTTTTTTTAAGAATTTGAAAGAATGATAGTTTCAGAGGGTTTTTTTTGAAAAAAATATCTTTTTTTTTTTTAATTTGAAAGAATCTTGAGGGACTCTAAATTTTAATTTAAAAGAATCTTCGTCCACCTGACGCTTTTGTTTAAGAATTTGAAAAAGTATTGGGCGTTAAGGGATTTTTTTGTAAAAATTTTGAGTTTTTTTTTTTAATTTCTTTGGTAAAATTTGTAAAAATCTCGTGGACCTGACTTTAAAGGAAAAGGAATCTTGAGGGTTGCTGACGTTTTTTGACAATGTTTGGGGCTTTTTTTGGAAAATCTAATTTTAACGAATCTTAGAGGTTCCTGACGGAAAAAATTTAAAAGATTTTTTTTTTTTGAAGAATTTGAGATGATATGAGTGGGCCGCTGACTATTTTTTATTTAATTTAAAAGAATTTTGGAGGTTTGTACATTTTTTTTAGTAAAAATTTGAAGGCATATTGAGGCTATTAACGTTTTTTTGGGTTCCTGAAGATTTTTTTTTTTTAATTTAAAGAAACTTGGGGTCACTGGTTTCGTTTCTGAAAAGAATTAGAAGAAGCTTGGGGGTTCCTGAATTTTAAAGAATCCTGGACACTCCCGAAGTTTTTTTTTAACTGAAAGAATCTTGGGAGTACTTGACAGATTTTTTTTTCTGAAAAATTTGAAAGAATCTTGAGAGCCTCTAACAGGTTTATTTAAATTTAGAAGAATCTTGGAGCCACATGACGATTTTCTTTAATTTGAATTTTTTCAAGAATATTAGGGTTACAGTTTTTTTTTTGAAAATTTTAGATTTCTGACGTTTTTTTTTTTGAAAATTTAAAACAATTCTTGGGACTCCCGACAGTCTTTTAGGAAGAATTTTAATGAATCTTGGGCTTCCTGACGGAGAAAATTTAAAAGAATTTTCGGGCCCCCAAACTGTTTTTTTTTTTTGGAGAATCTGAAATATTTTTTTTTAAATCTGAAAAAATCTTGTGGGTTCGGTCGGTTTTTTTTTGAGAATTTGAATTGAGCACTTTGGGTTTCTTACGGTTTTTTTTTGTAAAAATTTGAAAAATCTTAATTTAAAAAAAAAATTGAGGCCCCTGACGGTTTTTTTTAAAGGAATTTCAAAGAATGTTGGAGGTTCCGAACGGTTTTTTTTCTTGAAAAATTTGAAGGAATCTTGTGGATAAATTTTGAAAAAATTTAGTAGATCTTGGAGGGCCTGACGGTTTTTTTCTTAATTGAAAGAATTTTGGGGCCTTGACTTTTTTTGGAAACATTTGAAAGAATCTTGGGAATTCTTGACAGATTTTTTTTTTGAAAAATTTGAAAGAATCGTGAGGGCCTCTAACAGGTTTATTTTTTAATTTAAAACAATCCTAGGGTTCCAGAGTTTTTTTTTAAGCACCTTGGGGCTCTGCGATTTTTTTTTTTTTGAAAAATTTAAAAGACTTGGGGGTTTTTGAAGATTTTTTTTGAAAATTTAAATGAATCTTAATAATAATAATAATAAAAAAAAAGCATCTTGGATGTTTTTTAATGAATTTGAAAGAATCTGGATTGTCGATTTTCTGGAAGAATTTTAAAGAATAATTTTTTTAATATTAAAAGAATCTTGGTGGCTCTTGACAATTTTTTTCTTTTTAAGAAATTGAAAGGAACTTGGGGGATTACTGACGGATCTTTTTTTTTGGAAAAATTTGAAATAAGTTCTGAAGGTTCCTGATGTTTTTTTTTTTTTAATTTAAAACAATTCTTCGGGGTCCTGCCGGTCATTTTTGAAGAATTTCAATGAATCTTGGTGTTCCTGGTGGAGAAAATTTAAAAGAATTCGGCAAACGGAATCTTATGAAGCTGACTTTTTTTTTGAAAAAAATTAAAAGAATCTTGTGGGTTCGGAGAATTTGAATTTAAGCTCAGATTCTTGACGTTTTTTTTTTTTGTAAAAATTTGAAAAAATCTTTGGGTCTAACTTTTTTTAATTCAAAAAAATCATGGGGCCCCTGTTTTTTTGCTTGAAAAATTGGAAGGAATCTTGTGTATCCTTTGACTTATTTTCAAAAAATTTAGAAGAATCTTGGAGGCCCCGATGTTCTTTTTTAAAGATTGAAAGAATTTGGGGGCCTTGACTTTTTTTGGAAGCATTTGAAAGAATCTTGGAAATTTTTTACAGATTTTTTTTCTGAAAAATTTGAAAGAATCTTGAGGGCCTTTAGCGGGTTTATTTTTTAATTTTAAAAAATCCTAGGGTTCCAGAGTTTTTTTTTTGAAAATTTTAAAAAAACCTTGGTGAGCCTTAACATTTTTTTTCTTTTGAAATGCACCTTGGGGCTCCTTTCCATTTTTTTTTTTTTTAAGAATTTGAAAGACTCTTTGGGGGATTGTCGGTTTTCTGGAAGAATTTGCAAGAATCTTAGGGAGAATTGACTTTTTTTTTCTTGGAGAATTTTAAAGAATCCTGGAGGCTTTCGACGTTTTTTTTTAATATTGAAAGAATCTTGGAGCCCTCGACGGTTTTTTTAGAAGGTTTTGAAATAATCTTGGGAGTTCCTAAATGATTTTTGCTCTGAAAATGTTTAAAAGAATCTTGGGGCTACTTGACAGTTTTATTTTAAGAAAATGAAAGAATCTTTAGGTTCTAGAGGATTTTTTTAATAATCTTGAAAAATTTGGAAGAATCTTGGGGCCCCATCCGATTTTTTTTTAAGAATTTGAAAAAATCTCGAGGGTTCTTAAAGGATTTTTTTAAGAATCTTGGGGTTCCAATTTTTTTTCGAAAATTTTAAAAGAATTTTGGCGATTCTTGACATTTTTTGTCAAAATTTGAACAAATCTTGGGAAGTTCTGACGGAAAAAATGTATCTGACGTTAAAAAAAAAAAATCTTGGGGACGCTTTTTTCTGATAAATTTGAATTCGATCGCACCTTGTGTCCCTAACGATTTTTTTTTAATTTCTGAAAAAATCTTGGGGCTCTGACTTTTTTTAATTCAAAAAAATCTTGTAGCCCCTGACGTTTTTTTTTTTTTGAAAAAATTGAAAGAATCTTGTGGATTCCTTATTTTATTTAAAAAAAAAATCCAATATTCAGAGGGCCGTAGTTTTGGCGCAGTCACCGAAACCATAAAAGAATCACAAAAAAATTAGCTAAAAATTTAAAATCTACATAATTTCCTTGTTGCAAAAATAGAACCTAGCACACAAAACGGCGTCTTTGAACATCCTCAACACAACAACCTAATTAATACGAAACCGACGATTCCGCCGTCTGCATGACGTCCGCAGACAATACGTTGGCAAGTTTTGAAGTTATTGTTCAAACACAAACAAGCCCACAAAAAATCATGCTTAATAATCGATGCCAGTTCCATTCAGGCACATCCCGTCTCAGTTTATCATTCCCCGACAAACGCTATTTATTCACTCCGACTTCACGCTACCTCTACTCCAATTACGCAACGCCACATTCGAATTCTACTTTATCAAAATAAAAGCCACTCACAAAATTGCCGCCCTCCACTCGGTTACTCCTTGACGAGATTGTTTAAAAAACTTCAAACCCTCTATTCAGTTTGTAAATATTTAAACACGCCAAACAGTAATTGAAACATCCATCCTCATTTGAATAATTCAAATCGCTCGTTGAAAACACAAAATGTAAATATTGAATAACGACCGTTTTTACTGCAATGAATTAATAAGGGAATATTGTTGTCAATATTTTCCGCATTAGCATTATGAATACAAAAATAGCACGAGATTTAAAAATAATGTGCCTGGGAAGCGGATCAATATGGTCAAAAATACCGTGCAAGCCGCCTATCACACAATAAAATCTTACACTTTTTTTTTAGTGTGGCTAAAAAGCGACTGAAACAATTTGTTTGACAAAGTTGGCGAAAAAAAACACCTTTTTACTTTGGTGATTTTCGTTGTCAGAATTTATCGCGTGGCGCCACCTCGTGACCAACTTCCGTACTCCGTTCATCTATAGCGCCGCCACCAATTCAACTCTTACCTGTCTCGGGGGCGGCGCCGGCTCGCTCCTCTGCGTGTAGTGGCCGCTCGAGCCGCCACTGTCCCTATTAGAAAGACTCTTGTTACTACTCTTATTAGAACTAGGTTCAGCTCTGCAGTGAAGATCTGGAAGGCTTTTGTGGCACCTTTGTGCGTATTCCGCTGGAGGACTCAAGGGTGCCATCTGTTCGACGCTTAATTCCTCCGCGCTATCACAAACCAGTAACTGGCGAAGTTTATTCTGAAGAAGATCGTTGCTGCCCAAATGTACGGAGCGGCGGTGAGAGAGGGGCGGGAGGGAGCGCGAAGGGGAGACGGCCATATCTGAAAAGGGAAAAAACGAACGCCATTGTTAAGATAACGGTAATTAAGACAACAAAACTCAATTTGCTAAGTCTTTTTATGTTCGGTCGGGGCTGTTATGCTCGTAATTAGAAATTTCGCGGCTGGTGCACGAGCCAAAAAGGCGACGTCGATCACAGGACGGACGATTTGGCAAAAATAAAAAAATATCAATGACTGCACTATTAGAAAATGTGTCCAAGTTGTAAAAGCTGAAAAAATAAAACGCATTTTTTTCGAAAATTTTCCAAAAAAATGGCGAAAATTGGGCCAATCGACCAAAAATTGGTGTCAGATTGCAGACAATGTTCCTCCAGTTACAAATCTGCAATCGCCGTCTTGATCTCTGTTCCACCAAAGACAAAAAATGAGTTCAAAATTTTCAAAAATTTTCCAAAAACATTATTAAAATTGGTTCAATCGACGGACAATTGGTGTCAAATTGTATATAATCTGCCGCTAGTTACAAACATAAAACCGCCGTCACGATATCTGCTGCAATAAGCACAAAAATTGAATTCAAAATTTTCAAAAATTTTCCAAAAAATTGGTTAAAATTGGCTCAATCGACCCAAAACTAAAATATCGAAAAACTGGAAATTCAAATAATCGAACAATCGAAATATTGAAATGTCGAAATATTCGAGAAATCGAAAATTAGAATATCGAAAATTGAAAAATTTTTAAATTTCAAAATCGAAAAATCTAAAAACTGAAAAATACGTAAAGTCAAAAGAATTGAAACATCAAAAATTTGGAAAATCTAAAATTATAAATTCGAAAAACTGAAAAATAGAAATGTTGAAGAACTGAAAAATCGAAAAATTGAGATATCGAGAATTCGCAGCATCGAAAAATTGAAAAATTCAAACTCAAAAATCGAAAAGTCAAAAAATCAAAAACTTGAACAATTGAATTATTGTAAAATCCCAAAACTGAAACATCATAAAGTTGAAAATTCGACAAATGGGAAAATCAAAAATGTAAAAAAGTCAATAATTGAAAAATTGAAACAACGAAAAATTTAAGAATCGAAGAACTAAAAAATCGAAAAAAGTAAAAAACTGAAAAATCGAAATACCAAAACTTGAAAACTCGAGACATCGAAACATCAAAAAATCGAAAAAAGAGAAATCGGGGCATCGAAAATCCGAAACTTCGGAAAATTGAAAATTTGAAGAACTGACGAAACATCAGAAGAGCGACAAATTGAGAAGTCAAAAAATCTAAAAATTGAGAAATCGAAACAGACCAAAATCAAAAAGTTAAAACCTGAAAAATTATGAAATTTTAAATTAAAAACCATTTTAAAAATCTAAAAATTAAAAGACCACAAAATCTAAAACTAAGAAGTCTAAAAATTGAAAGACATAAAAATTCAAAAACTAAAATAACGAAAAATTGAAAAATGGAAAAAATAAACAATCGAAAAACTGAAAATCGAATAATCAAACAATAAAAAAATCGAAACATCGAAATCTTGATCAATTGAGAAATCGAAAAAGTAGACAATCGGAACATTGAAAAATTGAAAAATTTAAAACCGAAAAATTAAAAGATCAAAAAATACAAAAACTCAAAAGTAAAAAAATCTAAACATCAAAAATCTGGAAAATCTAAAATTTACAAATTCGAAAAATGAAAAAATCGAAATATTGAATAACTAAAAAAAAAATCAAGAAATTTTAAATTTTAGAAATCGAAAAGCAAAAAATCGAAAAATTGAAGAGTCGAAATACTGAAAAACCCAACATAAAAATATCGAAATCTGAAATCGCCCTCACGATATCTGTTCCAATGAACACGAGAAGTGAATTAAAAATTTTCAAAAATTTTCCAAAAATTTGTTAAAATTGGTTCGATCGACTGAAAATTTGTCTCAAATTGCAGACAATCTTCCTCCAGTTACAAATCTGAGATCGCAGTTTTAATCTGTGTTCTAACAAACACAAAAAATGAGTTCAAAATTTTCAAAAATTTTCCAAAAACATGGTCAAAATTGGTTCAATCGACGGAAAATTGGTGTCAAATTGTATATAATCTGCCGTTAGTTACAAACATAAAAACGCCATCACGATATCTGCTGCAATAAGCACAAAAATTGAATTCAAAATTTTCAAAAATTTTCCAAAAAAATGGTGAAAATTGGCTCAATCGACTCAAAACTAAAATATCGAAAAATTAAAAAATGCAAAAACATGAAGAATCTGGAAATTCGAATAATCGAACAATCAAAATATCGAAACGTCGAAATATTCGAGAAATCGAAAAATTGGAATATCGAAAATTGAAAAATTGAAAAATTTGAAAATTTCAAAAATCGAAGAGTCTAAAAACTAAAAAATACGTAACGCAGAAGTCAAAAGAATTGAAACATCAAAAATTTGGAAAATCTAAAATTTAAAAATTCGAAAAACTTAAAAATGGAAATATTGAAGAACTGAAAAATCGAAAAATTTTAAGTTTTAAAAATTTTGAAGTTAAAATATCGAAAAATTGAGATATCGAGAATTCGCAGTATCAAAAAATCGAAAAATTGAAAAATTCAAACTGAAAAATCGGAAAGTCGAAAAATCGAAAACTTAAACAATTGAATTATTGTAAAATCCCAAAACTGAAACATCATAAAGTTGAAAATTCGACAAATGGGAAAATCAAAAATGTAAGAGTCAATAATTGAAAAATTGAAAAAACGAAAAATTTAAGAATCGAAGAACTAAAAAATCGAAAAATTAAAGAACTGAAAAATCGAAATACCAAAAAATTGAAAAACCGAGACATCGAAACATCAAAAAATCGAAAATAGAGAAATCGGGGCACGAAAATCCGAAACTTAAAAATTGAAAAAAGAAAAATCGGAAAATTGATAATTTGAAGAACTGAACAATCGGGAAATTGAAAAATTCCAAAACCGAAATGACGAAAAATTGGAAAATTGATAAACTGGAAAATCGAAAGATCGAAAAATTGGAAAACTGAAACATCGAGAAAACGAACCATCAGAAGAGCGACAAATTGAGAAGTCGAAAAGTCAAAAAATTTAAAAATTGAGAAAACGAAATAAACCAAAATCAAAAAGTTAAAAACTGGAAAAAATAGGAAATTTTAAATTAAAAAACATTTTAAAAATCTAAAAATTAAAAGACCACAAAATCTAAAACTAAGAAGTCGAAAAATTGAAAAACAAAAAAATCCCAAACCTAAAATAGCGAAAAATTGACAAATGGAAAAAATAAACAATCCAAAAATCTGGAAAATCTAAAATTTACTAATTCGAAAAACGAAAAAATTGAAATATTGAATAACTAAAAAAAAATCAGAAATTTTCAATTTTAGAAATCGAAAAGTCGAGAAGTCAAAAAATCGAAATATTTAGAAACCAAAAAAATTGAGAAAGCGAAACATCAAAAAATCGAAACATTGAAAAACGAAAAATAAAGTTGAAGATTCGAAAAATTGAGAAATCGAATAATCGAACAATAAAAAAATCGAAACATCGAAATTTCGATCAATGCAGAAATTGAAAAATTTAAAAACCGAAAAATTGAAAAAACAACTTTCAAAAATAGAAAAAAGAAAACCCGAGAAATACAAAACCCAGAGGTCAAAATATCAAAAAATCAAAAATTTGGAAAACCTAATTGGCGTCAAATTGTTGATAATTTTCCGCTAGTTAGAAATATGAAATCGCCCTCGCGATATCTGTTCCAATAAACACGAAAAGTGAATTCAAAATTTTCAAAAATTTTCCAAAAAAAAAAGTTAAAATTGGTTAGATCGACTGAAAACTAGTCTCAAATTGCAGACAATCTTCCTCCAGATACAAATCTGAGATCGCAGTCTTAATCTCTGTTCCACCAAAGACAAAAAATGACTTCAAAATTTTCAAAAATTTTCCAAAAAAATGGTTAAAATTGGCTCAATCGACTCAAAACTAAAACATCGAAAAATTGAAAAATGCAAAAAAAATGAAGAATCGAAAAACTGGAAATTCCAATAATCGAACAATCAAAATATCGAAACGTCGAAATATTCGAGAAATCGAAAAATTGGTATATCGAAAATTTTTAAATTTCAAAAATCGAAAAATCTAAAAACTGAAAATACGTAACGCAGAAGTCAACAGAATTGAAACGTCAAAAATTTGGAAAATCTAAAATTTAAAAATTCGGAAAACTGAAAAATAGAAATATTGCAGAACTAAACAATCGAAAAATTTTAAGTTTTCAAATCTTAGAAGTTAAAAAATCGAAAAATTGAGATATCGAAAATTCCCAGCATCAAAAAATTGAAAAATTGAAAAATTCAAACTGAAAAATCGAAAAGTCCAAAAATCGAAAATTTAAACAACTGAATTATTGTAAAACCCCAAAACTGAAACATCATAAAGTTGAAAATTCGACAAATGGGAAAATCAAAAATGTAAAAGTCAATAATTGAAAAATTGAAACAACGAAAAATTTAAGAATCGAAGAACTAAAAAATCCAAAAATCGAGATATCAAAAAACTGAAAAATCGAAACATCGAAACATTAAAAAATCGAAAAAAGAGTAATCGGGGAATCGAAAATCCGAAACTTTAAAAATTGAAAAAAGAAAAATCGTAAAATTGAGAATTTGAAGAACTGAACAATCGGGAAATTGAATAATTCCAAAACTGAAATGACGAAAAATTGAGAAATTGATAAACTGGAAAATCGAAACATCGAAAAATTGGAAAATCGGAACATCGAGAAGTCGAAAAATTGAAACATCGAAAAATTGAAAAACTGAAACATCAGAAGAGCGACAAATTGAGAAGTCGAAAAGTCAAAAAATCCAAAAATTGAGAAATCGAAATAGACCAAAATCAAAAAGTTAAAAACTGAAAAAAATGGAAATTTTAAATTAAAATTTAATTCAAAATTTTCAAAAATTTTCCAAAAAAATTATTAAAATTGACTCGATCGACTGAAAATTGGTGTCAAATTATAGCTAGTTACAAATCTGAAATCGCCCTCACGATATCTACTCCGATAAACACGAAAAGTGAATTCAAAATTTTCAAAAATTTTCCAAAAAAATTGTTAAAATTGGTTCGATCGATTGAAAATTAGTCTCAAATTACACTATGCAACAAATTAAAAAAAATTAAAATTCACAGAATGCGCAGTATGTAGTTAAAATTTCTTACCTCAAACTCAATTGAGGATTATACTTGAAAGAATCGTATCACATCAGGTTTCAAAATGAAAAGTGTTTATTGATTTTTTTGAAATCATACAAAATTAATAAAACAAAACTTCATTTTTCATTGAAAAAGGTCTTTTTTTTCGAACGATTGACATTCCTATTGTACCCAGATCTCGCAGTATCCCTCTGAAGCACCAACAGAAGTCTGCAAGCATGGATGGATACATAAAAGCGATATTTTTACGATTAAATGCAATCAAGTGTCCCAAAAAGTAAGAAAAACAAAACACCCGTTATCTATGTTTTGTGATGTGATATGGGTATAAAAGATTTTTTTCTTTAGTATATGAAGTATAGGTACCCAACCTATCACATCAGGTTTCAAAATGAAAAGTGTTTATTGAATTTTTTAAAATCATACAAAATTAATAAAACAATACTTCATTTTTCATTGAAAAATGTATTTTTTTTCGAACGATTGGCATTCCTATTGTAGCCAGATCTCGCAGTATCCCTCTGAAGACACCAACAGAAGTCTGCAAGCATGGGTGGATACATAAAAGCAATATTTTTACGATTAAATGCAATCAAGTGTCCCAAAAAGTACGAAAAACAAAACACCCGTTATCTAGTTTTGTGATGTGATATGAGGATAAGACATTTTTTTCTTTAGTATATGGAGTATAGAAGCTATTACCTATCACATCAGGTTTCAAAATGAAAAGTGTTTATTGAATTTTTTAAAATCATACAAAATTAATAAAACAATACTTCATTTTTCATTGAAAAAGGTATTTTTTTTCGAACGATTGGCATTCCTATTGTAGCCAGATCTCGCAGTATCCCTCTGAAGACATCAACAGAAGTCTGCAAAAATGGGTGAATACATAAAAGTGATATTTTTACGATTAAATGCAATCAAGTGTCCCATAAAGTAAGAAAAACAAAACACCCGTTATCTATGTTTTGTGATGTGATATGAGTATAAAACATTTTTTTCTTTAGTATATGGAGTATACCCAACCTCAAACAGTATCTGAACTTTCTGTGAATTTTTTAGTGTTGCATAGTGTTACAGACAATCTTCCTCCGGTTACAAATTAGAAATCGCCGTCTTAATCTCTGTTCCAACAATCACAAAAAATGAGTTAAAATTTTCGAAAATTTTCCAAAAACATGATTAAAATTGGTTCAATCAACGGAAAATCAGTGCCAAATTGTGGATAATTTTCCGCTAGTTACAAATCTTAAATCACCGTCACGGTATCTGTTCCAATAAACACGAAAAGTGAATTCAAAATTTCCAAAAATTTTCCAAAAAAAATGGCTAAAATGGGTTCAATCAACCGAAAATTGGTGTCAAATTGTGGATAATCTTCCGCCAGTAACAAAACTGAAATCGCCGTCACGACAATAAACGCAAAAATTAAGTTCAAAATTTTTCCAAAAAAATGGTTAAAAAGTCGAAAAGTTCAAAAATAGAAAAATTGAACATCGAAAAACTGAAGAAATGAAAAACTGAAAATATTTAAATTGACATAAATCATGCAATAGGAACATTAAAAAATGGAAAAACCGTAAGAAATAAAAAAAATAAAAAACCCAGACGAAAAACTGCAAAAGAAGAATTTCAAATAGTAAGTGAAAAAGTTTTAAAATCCAATAATTGAAAAATAACATCTAAAATCATAAAATTGAAACGGTGAAATTTTTTTAATAATTATTATTAAAAAAAAAAATCGCAACTCAACAGTTGGAAAAAAGCGGGATTTAGTTGAGCTGCACCCAAGGGCTACAGAAAAGTCCCGTCGAATAACCTTCGACAAATTTTTTTGATTGAATGTTAACAAAAAAACTGCATCGTTTTATTTTGTAAACAGCTGCTTAAAGGTCAAAGTCTGTTTCATAAAGCATAAATAATTAGGTCAACGGCATCTGTTTATGTATGTCCTTATATCTGTGGTATAATCAGTAAAACAGCTATTTGGTAATTATTCTTGCACTCCTGAATAATTCATGTTTCTATTTTTTATTATTCTTTTAACTAGTTCACCATAATTTTGAATACTAATGCGTGACGGAATAGCACGCTTTTGTAATGTTAATTGTTTCAAACTAAATAGCATTACTTTTTTTCTTTAATTGGTCGGATAAGAAAAATTCACAAGTTTTACTAAATAGGAATTTTACACACTAAAAGGAACTTCTTGTAAGTTATATAAATAGAAAGAACATCAAAATAGGTGTCACGTCGCAATCTATATTTAGATTACAAATAGTAGTCTCCAAACTTCACACAAAAAACACCAAGCATGCGCAGTACAGCAATCCATAGTGTTTACTTCTGTTATATTTTCGAACAAGAGGACCAACTGCGACGGATCAAAATAAAATTTAGCTGAAATAAATCTAGCAAGCTCCACCTAACCTAAAAATGTAAACATATAAACGTGGCAACAACACTATTACCAACCGAATTTTGTAAGCATGGCCAACTCTAATTCCCTTTTTTCACACACGCATCTCCCGCTTTGTAATTTTGTTTTCACTAAACATGACCCGATTCATCTTGCTTGTTAAAAATAATTAAAAACTAACAAGCTCCCTTTCAAAGAGAATATTAAATGAGTAAACATAAATGTTGCATACACAGCATTTGAACTGCTTCCACAACCTCGTTTCCATTGTTAATAAATAATGTACCAATCAATACTTGCACTGAATTAATCCCATGGTAAAGATTTAATCACTCGATTGTTTTGATTGTCCCAGTTAACCGAGCTCATTAATTTCATACCCCTTTATCAAATCCACCGCAACGAAAACATGCCCCCGCCACTTACACTGCGGCAGCGTCGTGGGCCTGTAGTTGGTCCCATGGCCCGCCACATTGACCGACTTGCTCCTGTTGTAGCCCCCATACCCGGGCCCCACGCTCGAAAGGCGCGTCGGTAGAGCCTGCGTGGTGTCCCTAACTATTTCAGACTTGACGTAAAAAGGCTTGCTTTCAGCTAAGAGCTCGACGGCGGATTTGCGCTTCGACCTCATGCTCTGAGACTTGGTGAGCGTCGGGTACATCATGGTGGCCATTGTAGTCTCGGGGGCAGTGAAATCCGGAATGGTGTGTGCGGAAACGGGCAATCGCTCCTACATGCTCCTGGCGCTCCTGCGAACACAGGGGCGGATTACGCACGCAATCATCACACAAACTCCTACGCACTTACGCAAAGCAGGGCCGCACTGCCCTTCCAGTTCGAACCGCGGCTGGCCCCAGTGCCATTTATCACATTTTTTCGCTTTTCTGGGTTTGTTTAATTCGTAAATTGCACCACTGACCGACTGCTAGGAGCCATTTCTCGGGCCACAGCTGATTGCGTGTCGCGCATGCGCTCCGAGGGGGAGAATTCAAAAAGTGGGTCCTGTTTTGTTTATTTATGAGAGCGGAGTTCCTGCTGGAATTACCGGGAGGGGGCGAGGGCCAGACGAAAAAGGGGCGATATGGGCGAAAGACGGGGTATTGTGGGAGCAGGGACGATAAGAATGATTGTTTTTCAACAATGGATGACAACCCCACAATGCGTATTGTTAACAAGTGAAAAGCGGGGGTGTCAACACCAATGTCAAATTTTCGCTAGGGGTGCCAATTGCACGACGAAAAAGTTTTGTAAACATTGTTATTTACATTCTCGTAACAAAAATATCCACCGTCTCGGGTTTTTCTTTACAACAAAACGATTTCAATTTGTCGATTTTAAATCATAATATACTGGGTGACAGTTTTTAAAAGCTATATACACAGTGAAACAGCCAGCTATTTAAACAAGTTTCAAGGTCGCATCTGTCACACCCCTGCCAGTGTGAAATAAAAGCGGTAAATTTAAAAGCACGTTTGTTATAAACAAAAAAACAACTTGTCAAATTTATTGCCGACTTATGTGAACTGCAGGATTTTCTCAACACACGAAAACGCAAATTCTGAAATCAAATGTTGGTACATAGAGTGAAACTTGGAAATGAGGAAACTCAACCACATAACTTGAACAAACAAAAAACGCTGGCAACCTCGACCGGTCATTGAATACCTGCCCAGAATTTTTTGCTGGAATACAACTGGTCGCCGGTACCGGTTAACTTCAAATTTTAAAATTTAATAGCGGAAATAAAGTTTAACGACGGTTTTAAGTTTACGTCTACGTGTAACAATTTTCCCCTAGATTACTTATTTCAACATGAGTACATTTTTTCTAAAAGGTAATTCAAACTACAGTTTAGAAAATAATGGTATTTACTTTATCACAAAATGTAATTAATTTATACAAAAAATACATATAGGTAGCTCTTTTGCTAAATAAGCACAACTAACTAAACGAAATAAACATTTCAAGTTTCAACACAACCAAACCTCAGAAGACGCCGAAAATTTAACAAAAGAGCTAATACATATCAATTGCACAAGCCACTAAATCAACTAATCAGTCTATAGAAATCATTACAAAATAGAGAATCTTAAAAGCAGACACTGGGTTCTTCCAAACATTTTCCACTTAGAAATAAACGAGACAGATTCGAAAAAATCACAAAACGCAAAAATATTTTGTCTCTAAACTAACACGCAACTGTAGAAAAAAAGCGAAATTGTAATATACAACAAGAACTAAAAACCATATTGTTACAATATAGACTCTTCGTATGTACACGTGTTCACAGAACACACTATTTACTCTGATTAATAGTATTATTATTATTATTATTACTCATTTGTGGTTTATTGGCACCTTGGGTACCATTGACCGCGTTTTGAGGCCTCGGTATGTTCCGCACAGGCCCTAACGTCAGCATCGTGGTGGCGCCCAGCGCCGCCACATTGCCCGGATTCCGCCCATTTATAATGGGCAGAGCGAACATGCCGTCTGGTCCCGACGTCGGTAAAGGAATATAGTTAAAAATGCCCATGGAACTGAGTTTCTGGAAGATCCCTGGTTGCTTGAGATTGATCAAAGGCACGCCGATTTCACACATGCCGCTGTTCGTTTTGTGGTAGTTTTGCCGGTGCTTGCTCAGACCCATCGCGTTGGGGTACTGCGCTGGACAGAGGTCGCACTTGAAGGGCAGACCTTGCCTCTGGGGGGGCTTCTGCTGGGAGTTTGCCGTTTTCATGGGCTGGGAGACTGGGGAAGTGTCGTCGGTTAAATCGACGGTGGGAAGATGAGGTTCTTGGCCGGAGTTGGCAGCCTGGAAAATCGCATAACCTCACTTTCGCGAATGCGTCTATTGGTGGCGAACTAATCACGTGACGACTATGACTTACCTTATTGGAGTTTTTGGCCGACGGGATAATACTGACAGCCGCGTTCAGGTTGAGCTGCGGAGGAATGGCGGGATTCTTCTGGCCGTCGCATTTATCCTTCGGCTTCGGCGTCGCCGTCACCGTGATCCCCCTCGTCGCTAAAATGTTGGCGACCGCCTTAGCGTCGGACTTTTTGGGGCTCTGGGGCCGGGGCTGTGGATTCCGTACAGACAAAGTAATAGAGTCTGACAGATGCATGACACTGCTTTCTGACGGTTCAGCGGTACCACCCTACACCAAATTTAGTTACCAACCACCGGGCGGAAAATCCCTGCCAACTAACCTGTACACTGGAGATCTGCGGCAAGCCTCCGTCGGTATTCTTCGGCTGCATGCAGATCACCTGACAATCCTCGTCGTCTTTGTCGGGCGTCAGCACGTCCAGCCTCTTCTTCTTTGCTTGCAGCGCTTGAATCTGCTCGGGCGTCCTTTTCACCAAAGGTTGCCTAAGTTGCCCGTTTTGGTTCACCGGCATTCGCGGCCTCACGCTGCGCACGGCCGTCATGCCTCCACCTCTGGGTCGAACCATGGGCGCCCTTTGTCTGGGCATGGGCTGCCGCTGGTTGTTCATGGGCTGCCTGGGCGCGACGGGCATGCGCTGAGGCTGCATTTGCCTCGGTGGGGGTTGCTGGCGCGGCGCCAGAGGACGATAAGGCTGATTCTGAGGCTGCGCCTGCGACGACGGAGGCTGGCCCATTTGGGGCTGACCCATGGGCGGCTGACCCATCGGGGGTTGTCCGAGCTGAGGCATTTGCGGCTGAGGCGGAGGGGGCGGCATGTGTTGGGGATACCCAGTAGCGGGCGGGTAGTACATGGGGTTAGGAGGCGGGTACGAGGGGTACGACTGGTGGTACATGGGCTGGGGAGGGTGGTGGTACATGTTCGGGGGGTGGTACGGGGGCGGCGGATGCGGCGCTTGCGGAAACTGCTGGATGTTGATAAGGACGTTCTGTTGGTGCATGCCGTTACCGGATGGTTGCAAACGGGACACTTGCTGGGCGAGGGCTTCCATGGGCAGCCCCGCGAGGCTGCTGAGGGCGTTTTGGTTCATTTGGTTTTGGGAGTGGTTGTAAAGTTGCTGCAAGAGTAAACAGGATCAGGAAGGGTTAACATCATGGAAATGATAAATCACTGGTTCCCAAATTTTTTCCAGGACCCTCTTCTGGGAAGAATTTTGCTTGTTGCGCCATCTATCACCAAGTAGTTATTTCAGTTCCAACTTGTGTGATGTGGCTTGAGTGCAATATCTATCGAATATTTTGACATTTAATTATATGTATATGTTCCAAAAAATGCGAGTAATTATTTTGAAAATTCTTTCGCACCCTTCAGAGGGTCCCGACTCACAAAAAAAAAACGTTTTTATTGTCGAAAAAGAAATTACCAAAGCGTTGCTGTTCCTGTCGCCTAGTCGATCCAACGGAATAAACTCGCTATCGCTCGTGGTGAACCCAAAATCCTTGGCCCGCTCATTGTTGTTAAAAATGGCCAGAATGTCGTCGTTCCCTGGCAGCTTCAGCGGATCCTCCATCGACGTGTTCCACGCCTCCTTCTTCCCCTCGCCCCCCATGTCCGCGTCCCCGTCCGGATTATCGTCCGTGATCTCCGTGATCGTCAGCGGCTCCTTCAGCAGTCCGGTCGTCTTGATCCGGATCTTGGGGTAGTCCGGCGAGGGCTCCGGCGGCGGCGTGGGCTCCGCCCCCGGGATGCTGCCGCACTCCGACCCATCCCCTCCCACTTCATCGATTTTGGCACCCGAAATGGAAGAGTCGCTATCCGCTGGAGAGCTCTCCGGGACGTTCACTTCGGCAAAGTTCGGCGAGAAGTTCACATTGGCATCTTCATCTGGCTCTTCAGGTTGCTCCACCTCTTCTTCGTGGCTCTCCTCCTGTCCGCCCTCCTCGTTTTCCGCCAGATTGTCTGCTGATTCCGACAGTTGAATGGGAGATCGGTCGCCGGTTGGCGAGTTGATGATTTCGAAACTGTTGCCTGCTTTGTTCTTGAGGGTGATCTTGAGGGGCGGCAGTTGGACGCGCGTTAAGCTCACTTGGGGTTGCTTGATGTGGTGGAAGAGGTGGTCGTACAGATAGTGTTTACTTGTGAAGTTGACGTTGCAATCCCAACATCGTAGGGGGTCTAGGTCTTCACTATCGCTCGAATTTTCTGAAAAAGGAAAGAGAGTGAGGTTGAGCGGGTGCGGGGGTGGGGGGTGAGGTTGTTAGGGGTGCGAATAGGCGGTGTTTATTTGTGCAACTAGAATTATAGGTGGGGAAATTAGTATAAATAAGCTAAAAATGAATTGGCAAAAATTATAGCGAGCCTTTGTATTTTAAATAAACCTTTGTATCCTACGACGTGTTGTCTGCTTAGAAATTTAAACCAGCGTGAACATCTGTCGCATTGTATACCAATTTGAAGATAAAATTGCACTTGATAAAGTTATGTGTAAAAATAGCTTCTAAAATTTAGCTACAAAGAATTATTCATATTGCATTTGCAAGTATAATTTATAAGCAAACTTTTTCTGTTGATTTTAAAACACACCAACTCTCTATTTTTCCTATGTCTGTGATATTATAGAACACTTCAATGAGTGATTTATAACCTCTATAACATCTTATCGTATCAGATTAACACATTTGACACGAATCTAATCTCTGTGTTCATCTTCCATTAAGTCGATTATAACATACACTACTCTTGCTCATAAAATTCGTTGCCAGAATATATGCAAACTTTTACGACTAATTTAGGTTTGGCAAATGTTCAAACAATGATATTTAGTGTCAGTGTGAATGAAAAGTGTACTTCACACTACAAAAAAACACTTACCCGAATAAAATTTCAGTATTCAAGTGTGCTGAACACGAATTGATCACAAACATGTCAGCACTTTTTTCACTGAACTGACAGTGAACGATGTTTTCTCAACGTCAATTCAAACTGTCAGTCATTTTTTGACACGAAATATGGATGTTGTCAACACTGTTCCAGTCAATGCGTGATCATTGTTTGAACCAGTCTGACTGCGTCAAACCTGATTTTACTGCTTAGTGAGAAAAAACGGTTGCGGTGTAGAAGTTTTTTATTCTAGGTGAATCGAAAACTTTTTGAGTTGCATTAGGCCGCGACATGCGCCAGTAGTTGGCAAGTAAGTGCGTTGCAGTTAGAGGTAAATGAGATAAATTATATATGGCCAGAAGTAAATATTTAATTATAACTGCAGGAAAGCAGATAATCATTTAAGAATATGAAAGAGTCGTAGAAAAAAAAATTACTGAATAAAAAATTTTTATGCGAACGTTGTAGTAAATATTTGTCCAATGTAAAAAACAACACCCTTAGTAGCAGACCGAAAAATGAGCTAAATAGAAATTAATTGATCGAAATAAGTGATTGTTTAGTGTTTAATTGATCGTTCATTGCATTTTTAGACGAGGAGAGAGCATGTTTCGCTTCAACTTTTATATCAGTGCAAAGACAACATTGAGCTCTATGAGGAAGAACCGGTCATTTTTGTTTAAAATTTATATTTATCAAAATATTTGCTTTGTAAAAAAATATTGGATAATGATAATAACTACATTTCCGAAAAACGCCAACGTCCATCAGTCGATTCCAAGAGGTTGCTGAGTTTGGCCTGAAGATTAAACACCATCGTTAAAAAACTTCAAAAAACCGAACGCTGAAACCGGAGTCCGCTGTCTCATCCCGTCTTGCTAAAATAAGAATAATTTTGGCAAATGACATACCTTCCAAGAAAACAGAGGCTGGGTGAGCGGGGCTAGTATTTGATAAGATAAGACAGATTTTAGCACTTTTGACATTTTGAACCATATCCAAAATTTAATTGAAGACTTTTTTGTACATTTCGATATCCAGAAGTCATTTTCAGCTTCGTTTCTTTGGAAATTTCTACCGTTTTTCTAAAATCGCTACTTGAAATACAGAAATTTTTAAAGTTTCCTCAAAATAGCTTTCTATAAAAATTTTGTAGATAAAAAAGGAAATTATTATTAATTTTTGTTCCATTGTTCCATTATTGGTTTCCACTTCCACTCGACAGAAGAACATATTTAGTATTTGCTAAGATAAGACTGATTTTGGCAAATCACATACCTTGCAAGAAAATGTAGGGCGGGTGGGCGGGGCTATTACTTGCTAAGATAAGACTGATTTTGGTAAATCACATACCTTGCAAGAAAATGTAGGGCGGGTGGGCGGGGCTAGTATTTGCTAAGATAAGACTGATTTTGGCAAATCACATACCTTGCAAGAAAATGTAGGGCGGGTGGGCGGGGCTAGTATTTGCTAAGATAAGACTGATTTTGGCAAATCACATACCTTGCAAGAAAATGTAGGGCGGGTGGGCGGGGCTGGTACTTGCTAAGTATGAGAGTATTGAAATATCGAGCTTTTGAAAAAGTTTGCTAAAAATTAACAAAAAATTCCAGGATATAAATTTCGACGTATTTATTCGAAAAAATATTAAATGCTCCCGGAAAAAAAAAATTGAAAATATTCGATTTAAAAGTTAATGAAAAGAAATTATAATAAAAATATTCTGGAAAATAAAAGGAGTTTTTGAAGAACTGAGAGTGAAAAAAACTTCTGGAGGTCAGTAACTTACAAAAAAATCTTTTTCGGTAATGTTCGAAGTTGGTTGAAAAAAGACTGAAATTTTCAAAAGAGAAAGTATTGAAATATAGAGCTTTTCAAAAAGTTTTCTAAAAAATTTAGAAAAAAATCCAGGATATAGATTTCGACTTACTGATTCGAAAAATATAGCGCATTTATGTTCCCAGAAAAAGATTTTGGAAAAATTCCATTTGAAAGTCCATTAAAAAATAATAGTAAAAATTGCGATGTTTCATTGAGCGATTTTGGAAAAATGGAAGGATTTTTCAAAGAAATGAGAGTGAAAGTAACTTCTATATGTCGTAATCTACAGAAAAATCTCTTTAGATAATTTTTGAGGGTGGTCGAAAAAAGGGTGAAATTTTCAAAAGAGGAAGTATTGAAATATTAGAGCTTTTGAAAAAGTTTACTAAAAAATTTAGAAAAAATTCCAGGATATAGATTTCGACTTACTGATTCGAAAAATATAACGCGTTTATGTCTCGGAAAAAATGTTTGGAAAAATTGCATTTGAACGTCAATTAAAAAAAAAATTAAAAATTGTCATATTTTGTTGGGCGATTCTGGAAAAATGGAAGGACTTTTCTAAGAAATGGAACTGAAAGTAACTGCTAGATGTCGTAATCTACATAAAATCTCTTTGGGTAATTTTCGAAGCTGATCGAAAAAAGAGTGAAATTTTCAAAACAGGAAGTATTGACATATAAAGCTTTTGAAAAAGTTTGCTAAAAAATTTAGAAAAAATTCCAGGGTATAGATTTTGACTTACTGATTCGAAAAATATAACGCGTTTATGTCTCGGAAAAAATTTTTGGAAAAATTGCATTTGAAAGTCAATTAAAAAAAAATTAAAAATTGTCATATTTTATTGGGCGATTCTGGAAAAATGGAAGGACTTTTCTAAGAAATGGAACTGAAAGTAACTTCTAGATGTCGTAATCTACAGAAAAATCTCTTTGGGTAATTTTTGAGGGTGGTCGAAAAAATGGTGAAATTTTCAAAAGAGGAAGTATTGCAATATTAGAGCTTTTGAAAAAGTTTGTTAAAAAATTTAGAAAAAATTCCAGGATATAGATTTCCACTTACTGATTCGAAATATAGCGCATTTATGTTCCCAGAAAAAGATTTTGGAAAAATTCCATTTGAAAGTCAATTAAAAAATAATAATAAAAAATCGCGATGTTTCATTGAGCGATTCTGGAAAAATGGAAGGACTTTTCAAAGAAATGAGAGTGAAAGTAACTTCTAGATGTCGTAATCTACAGAAAAATCTCTTTTGTACTTGAGGTGATAATAGTTAATAAGATTGAGTCAATTGATTGCATTATTGTTTTAATGCACTTGTTAACAGCTGCTGTTATTGTGATCACGACTGCAATGTGTTGGTGTATCTTTCGTTTTGAATTTTAAAAGTGTACTGATAAGCTACAAAGCAATTTAACTATTGCTGTTTATAAAAATTAAAAATGTAGTAAAACTTTTATCACATGTATAATTTATAAGTTAAAGATAAGGTAGTTACAATGTAAGCAGTAATTTTTTTCACTTGTCATTAAAATAATAATAAAAATGCTGCTATCAACAATCAAAATCGTGGTTTGAGTACACATGAAAAATGTAAGATGATCACCTGATTCTTGAAACGTAGTTTTTGTTTTGAATTCTAATCGATCGCAGTGTTGCCATCTGCACAAACAAACTTGTTAATATCTTAAACTTCAGGAAAAAATCGAGTGAATGAACAATGCGTTTGAAAATCCGTGCCTTTGTGTGCTTAAACACAAAAAATCTTTTTATGTCTTTGAAGACTTGTTTACTTCTCCAGTTATAAAGACTGTTTAAAAAGAAGCCTAATCCAAGTTTTTCTCACCACATAAAGGTGCCCACTTGTGTGATTTCCCATTTATCTTATTCATATTTTACAAATAATTTAATCTTTTAATGAAAGCTTTCCTTGTTTCAACAAGTCTCAGTTAACCATTCAAAGTACTTTGAACCACGACTGCACAAAACTGTAGCACGAAACCTAGTCGACATTGCAAACGTAAAGTAGCTACACCTTGTACGAGAGCCCTCCAACAAACTCAGAGCGTACTTGTCCCAGTCGTGCCCTGATTTCAAGTGCTTGAGTCCACAGCTGCTCCATTCATTACACAAAGACTTAATTTTTTACTGCGTTTGGTTTCCTTAGTGGCGTTTTGACAGTTCTAGTCCCTCGTGAGCGTCTTCTGGTGGTCTTATAACATTCAGACGAGTTTGGCATACTTCCTTATAAACGTTATAACCCTTTTCGCATATTTAAGTAACTCAAGGATCGAAGGATTTACGTTGTGGCCTACTCCAACTCAAAAAGTTTTCGATCGCATGATGTAATAGGTTTTCATTACAGAGTCCACACAAAATAGATCACAGATGAGACGATTTTCTCCAACTCAAATAAATAATCTCGACGAGATTTAAATTTAACCAAAGAAGATACAAACTCAAACGTAGATTTATTATTGGTAATTAGACTTCGTGGTATCGACAGCCGGCACCACAAAAAGGAAACGGTTTCTTTTTTCCTTCAGTTAATTTGCCAATATATTGCTACGATATTTCTACAATTATAAACTTCTTTGAACCAAAGGACTGTTCTCAGAATCTTTAAAGCAAAGCTTAAAGGGAGCTCAATAATGAAAATAATACGCCTCCAGTCCTTTTGTCGAGTCAGCGCATTTTAGAGAAAATTAAGCAAGTATGAAATTAGTTTTGGAAAACCTTAATTGCATACAACATGGATACACAAAAATGCCTTGGATTTCATGTGAGTAAGATTGTAGAGAACGTCAAGATATTTTCCGGAAAGAAAAGTGAACAACAGGAAAAAACTTCAGACATAGAACTTCACCAGCTTACACTCCACTACAATTAATAGATTTATGAAAATCTCTCATATGAATTAGTTCTACAAAAAAATCAAATTTGTTACTTGTCTGTCAAGAATTTTGACTCCAACACGGTGAATTTCAAACGTGTATGTTTGGTTGCATACGCTACACATTGACAGTCATCAACTTAAAATTAGTTTATTTATAATAATTTAAGCCTGGTGTACTATAGATGCCACAAAAAATATGCAAAAATATAAATATCGATATTAAAATATCCATTATATATGTTATTAACTTTATTATATATTCTATTATAAACAAAAAAAAAACATCAGAATTGGTACTCATTATTTGTAATGAATAATGATCAATTTCCAATATTGACTGTATGACATGAACTAATCTTGCGCTGCAATAATAAATAACAATCCATCATAAATATTAACACGAGTTCAAGGTTACTTCCTGATGTCAGCGCCGCTTTAATTGACAATTACACAAAAACATAAATGACTACCAATTTGTTTTTACTCCAGATAATTAAGTGCAATGCGACTTTCGTAATTAGAAGTGATCACCAATTTGAAGCTAAAAAAGTAACCTTCAATATGAAACGAAAAAACAAATTAATTAAATGACAGTCATTAAACCACAATTATGTGGCACTCAGAAACCCTAAACGATCATAAAAAGCAAGTGCGCCTTTAAAAAAAAAAAAAAAGTTAGCCAGTCAATCAACCTAGGAAGTGTTAATACCAATCAAGATCGCCAGCCAGAAAAAATGACAGCGCGCTTTTCGTTAATTGGTGAAGGCGGGATAAGCGTGGGTCAAAAACCAAAAAAAAAAAAGAAAAAAAAAAGAAAAACAAAAAATATTTACCACAGTTCAAGGCAGTCGCGTCGTTCGAAACATCCCCGTCGCTTTTCATTTTCGGTCTGGAAAAGAAAAAACCAATAGTCGAATGATCGGCTCGCTATCAAATATCATACGTCATTGTCAATCACGCTCATTAACGTGTCAACGTCAACTCGGTCAACTGTCAACGGAAAAGAACGCACCAATCAAGATAACGCCTCGCATCCGCACACAAATAAATGGCAATGCGCAGCTGAAAAGCTCGTTAGCCGACTAAATACTCACAAGCATTATTGCCGGCGAAACTGGCGGCCACCTCTCGAATCGCTCTGAGGAACACCCGCGGAAAAGGCAGAAACGTGGTTCGGAAACGATCGCGCCCGGCGATGCAACACGCAGACAGCAGCGAAATGCGGCAGGAGCGGCCCGCGCGGGGCGGCCGCCGGGGGCGGGGGGCGGCGATGGTTGTGGTGGGGCGGCGCAAGCGGAGAACCACGAACCATTTGGCCGGGGAGGGGGGCGAGTGAAACGGCAGTGAAACTCCTTTGTTCGCCGTGAAACACGGCGGCGGGACGCGGGAGGGGGCTGATTGCGTTTCACAGCCGGCGGGGCGATTAGCGTACGGAGGGCTACCACTAATTTATGCGGAGCGTGTAAACGCCGCAAACGTTAACGGATTTGCGGCGTTATCTTATCGCAGCGGACTGAGAATGCGGCCTTGAGATACCGCCTCGGGATTCGAGGAGGGTTATCTCAGGATGTTCGAACGTGGCGCGCTCGGACGGGGTCGGAGCGGGGAGGGGGAGGTTGCGTTCTCCAGCCAGTTGGCTGAGATAGCGGCAGCGGGGAAAGCCGGGTTTGATGGGAAGTTGAGGAGTTACCGTGAAAGGAGTTCGGTAAATTGTAACGTTGCGTTCCCCCACTACCGCTGCGCTACTTGTAGACTCAAATACTAGGACATGGAGTATTGTTTATTTACAGTTATGTAGATGCATATATATTACGTTGAATTTTATGGTTGATAATGATCGCGTGATGCGAGCACTTATGATGAGTTACTGACAAGTATATGACTTAAGTACGTACTTGCTGATCAGGGTCGGACTTGTCTTATTTGTTAGTCGACCAGCCAGAAGTATTTCAAGATATTTAATTTAAATTAAAATATGTACATATAAAATTGAACATCTCCGCCACTGGAGTCTCTGCCCGATACAATATCAATATTTATTCGTGTAGTATAATAACGGATTGTAAAAACGAGGCAAGTTCTGTACTGCCATAAGTTATTATTAATTAAAAAGAACTTCCCTCGCCCCTGAAGTACAGTGCAACAAATCCCGCTTTTTATGAATTTAAAACTGTATTTTTTTTGTCATATCCTCTATAAATTCAAAAATATGGATGGTAAGAGTGGCAGTTTAAGGAAAACTGCAGATAGACAAGCAGACAGAAAAGAGTACCTACTTTTTCGTACTGTAGGTGTGATGAAACGTGGAGAAAAAATGAAAGCTGATGGACCCTATTAAAATACTTCATTGGCTTACGCTTGGGAAGCAAAAAGGAGTTTCAGCTTGATTAATAGATTTTTCAACATGAACTGAGTTAGTAAGCGAAATATTGAGTAAAACACAACTTAAATAAATATGAATAACCAAAACAGTAACTTTTTCGAAAAACTTTTTAAATTTTAGATCTCGTGTTAGAAAATTAATTTTTTTGTCATAATCTCTACAAATTTAAAAATATTAATAATAAGACGAGTCACGGTTTAAAGGAAGTGACAGGCAGACAGAAACTTGGAACCTAATTTTTCGTACAAAATAAACCAGTCAGAAAAGCCACCATGTGAAAATGAACCAATTGTACAATCAAGCTGTCAAACTGACATTACTTGCTAATTTTGACAGGTAATAACAGTAAATGTTACTTTAAACATTAACAACAATTCCCGCTAAATTTGAAAATAATTTTTTGTCATAACCTCTATAAATTAAAAAATCAGAAAATAAAAAAAATTAAAGTTATCCAAAAATTGAAAAAGTTAATAAATCCAAAATTGTTAAAAGAAAACAAAAGGTTTAAAAAATCCAAACAATACAAAAAAGCCCAAAAACTAAAGAAATAAAAAAAATCCGATAATAAAAAAAACTGAAAAATCCGAAATATCCGAAATTTCCAAAGAATCCCAATAATCCGAAAAATCCGAAAAATTCGAAAAATTTGAAAAATCTGAAAAACCCAAGAAATTTGAAAAATCCGAGAGATGCAGATGATACAAAAAGTCCAAAAGATCCGGAAAATCCAGGAAATTCAAGAAATCTAAAAAATAAAATCAAGAAATCCAAAAAACGCGGGTAATCAAGGAAATCAAAGAAATTAAAGCAATTCAAGGAATCTAAGAAAGCCAAGAAATCGAAGAAATCGAAAAAAATCCAACATATTCAAGAAATCAAAAAATCGAAAATATTCGAAAAGTACAAAAATATCCAAAATATCACAGAATTTAAAAATCCAAAAATCTAAAAAATCCAAGAAACCTAATAAACTCAAAAATAATCCAATAACTTTAAAAGTGTAGAAAATGTAAATAAAAACTATAAAAAACCGAAGAAATCCAATAAATCAAAGAAACTCAAGCCGTTCGATAATTCCGAAAAACCAAAAAAAATAAAAAAAACTAAAGTTATGCAAAAATTGAAAAAGTTAATAAATCCAAAATTGTTAAAAGAAAACAAAACGTTTAAAAATACAAACAGTACAAAAAAGCCCAAAAACTGAAGAAATAAAAAAATCCGATAATCCAAAAATTTGAAAAATCCGAAAAATCTGAAAAATTCGAGAGATCTAAAAAATCCAAAGAATCCATGAGTTCCAGATGATACAAAAGATCCAAAAAACCCCAGAGACCCAACACATCCAAAAGATCCAGAAAATCCAGGAAATTCAAGAAATCTAAAAAATAAAATCAAGAAATCCAGGAAACGCGGATAATCAAGGAAATCAAAGAAATTCAAGAAATCCAAGAAATCGGAGAAATCGAAAAAAATCCAACATATTCAAGAAATCAAAAAATCGAAAATATCCGAAAAGTACAAAAATATCCAAAAAATCAAAGAATCTAAAATTCCAAAAATCTAGAAAACCCAAGAAACCTAATAAACTCAAAAAAAGCCAATAACTTCAAAAATGTAGAAAATGTAAATAAAAACTAAAAAAAATCGAAGAAATCCAATAAACCGAAAAACCGAAGAAATCCAATAAACCAAAGAAACTCAGGCCGTTCGGTAATTCCGAAAAATCAAAAAATTAAAAAAAAATAAAGTTATGCAAAAATTCAAAAAGTTAATAAATTCAAAATTGTTAAAAGAAAACAAAAGGTTTCAAAAACCCAAACAATACAAAAGAGCCCAAAAACTGAAGAAATAAAAAAATCCGATAATCCAAAAATCTGAAAAATCCGAAATATCCGAAGAATCCCAATAATCCGAAAAATCCGAAAAATCCGAAAAATTTGAAAAATCTGAAAAATCCAAGAAATCTGAAAAATCCGAGAGATCTAAAAAATCCAAAAAATCCATGAGATCGAGATGACATAAAAGATCCAAAAGACCCAAGAAGTCGAACAGATCCAAAAGATCCAGAAAATCCAGAAAATTCAAGAAATCTAAAAAATTAAATCAAGAAATCCAGGCAACGCGGGTACTCAAGGAAATCAAAGAAATCCAAGAAATCCAAGAAAGCCAAGAAATCGAAGAAATCGAAAAAATGCAACATATTCAAGAAATCAAAAAATCGAAAATATCTGAAAAGTACAAAAATATCCAAAAACGAAACCTAATAAACTCAAAAAAAAAATCCAATAACTTCAAAAGTGTAGAAAATGTAAATAAAAACTAAAAAAAAAACCGAAGAAATCCAATAAACCAAAAAAACCGAAGAAATCTATTAAACCAAAGAAGCTCAAGCCGTTCGGCAATTCCGAAAAACCAAAAAAATAAAAAAAAATAAAGTTATGCAAAAATTGAAAAAGTTAATAAATCCAAAATTGTTAAAGGAAAACAAAAGGTTTAAAAAATCCAAACATTAGAAAAAAGCCAAAAACTGAAGAAATAAAAAAAATAGTCCAAAAATCTGAAAAATCCGAAACATCCGAAGAATCCCAATAACCCGATAAATCCGAAAAATTCCAAAAATCTGAAAAATCCGAGCAATCTAAAAAGTCCAAAAAATCCATGAGATCCAGATGATACAAAAGATCCAAAAGACTCAACAGGTCCAACAGATCCAAAAGATCCAGAAAATCCAGGAAATTCAAGAAATCTAAAAAATAAAATCCAAGAATTCCAAGAAAGCCAGGAAACGTGGGTAATTAAGGAAATCAAAGAAATTTAAGGAATCGAAGAAATCGAAAAAAAATCCAACATATTCAAGAAATACAAAAAATCAAAAATATCCGAAAAGTTCAAAAAATCCAAAAACCAAAGAATTTAAAAATCCAAAAATCTGAAAAATCCAAGAAATGTAAAAAATCCGAGAAATTAAAAAATCCAAAAAATCCATGAGATCAAATGATACAAAAGATCCAAAAGACCCAAGAGGTTCAACAGATCCAAAAGATACAGAAAATCCAGGAAATTCAAGAAATCTAAAAAATAAAATCCAAGAGTTCCAAGAAATCCAGGAAACGCGGGTAATCGAGTAAAATCAAACAAATTCAAGAAATCCAAGAAAGCCAAGAAATCGAAGAAATCGAAGAAATCGAAGAAAATCCAACATATTCAAGAAATACAAAAAATTGAAAATATCCGAAAAGTTCAAAAAAATCCATAAAATCAAAGAATTTAATAATTCAAAAATCTAAAAAATCCAAGAAATCTAATAAACTCAAAAAAAAAAATCCAGTAACTTCAAAAATGTAAATACAAACTAAAAAAAAAACAAAGAAATCAAATAAACCAAAAAAAACGAAGATATCCAATAAACCAAAGAAACTCAAGACATTCGATAATTCCAAAAAACCAAAAAATCCAAAGTAATAAAAAAAAATCGAAAAATCCAAAAGATCCAAAAGAATCCAGGAAACCCAACAAATTCAAGAAATCTAAGATGTCCAAGAATTCCACAAAAACCAAAAAAATACTACAATCCCAAGAAACTCAACAAATTGAATAATACAAAAAATCAACAATATCCAAAATGTTTTAAAAATTAACAAAAAAAACAAGAATTTAAAAAATCCAAAAATCTAAAAAATACAAAAAATTCAGAGAA